CGAAGCCACCATACCGGAATAGCTCGGGTCCTCCATAGACGATTGCACGTACGAGTCGGTAGACCCGTGCTTTTGCGGTGCATGTCGGGAGTCGTCCAGCCGGTTTCTGCTCATCGAGCGCCGGTTGCCGCTGAAGCTGCGCCGGGGCGAAGAGTCACGGATGATGGTCGACAGGTCCAGACTTCTACGACGGAACCCCCTGAATGCGTCGAAGCTGGCGCGCGCAGCGTCCATACTGGCGCGCGGGCTGAGAGCCGACGGGCTGTGGGCGGACAGGGGCGAAAGGGTCGCCTTGACAGCATCAGGAAGCTTGCTGGTTCTGAGCTTGAGCGGCGCACCGCTGCGTCTGCTTGCGCTCACGGAACTGCGCGCCGAGGCGGCCACCGGCTGCTTCTCCTCTTCCTGGGCGGCCGCGGCCCTTAGTCTCGCCGTATCCTTGGCGTTGGACGACGCATCCTCGATCAGAATCTTGAGGACGTTGATGGCGTCCTTGCCGAAGCTGAAGAAGGAAAAGAAGTACTCGTCAATGGCGTACGTCTCGTCGTTGTCAATGACGCGAATCTTGCAGGTGTCGGCGAACTCAAGCATCTGGGTGTCCTCGATGTCGATGACATTCTCAATGGGCAGCGAGATCTTTACGCTGTCGCCCTCGTTGTGCGAGCGGAAGATTACCCTCTGCAGACTCTTGACCCATTCCTTGGCGCTGGGGGCACTGTCGGCCTTGAAGTGGTATGTGCGGTGATGGGTGACGACGGTGAAGTTGAGGCCGTCCTTCTTGTCGTTGACGCTGGCCGAGATGCCGTAGCGGAGGTCGATCTGGCCGCTCGGGAAGTACACGTTGGAAGGGTCCTTGTAGTATGCCAGAACGTCGCCCTTGAGGCGGAACCAGTATCGGTTGTACTTGGGATTGCGCTTGCCGCTCTTGGACAAATAGCCCGACTTGACGACCTCATGCTGCGCCGGTCAGTAACTGCGAAGCAAGACGGGGAAGTCCGGGAGAGAGGAGCGACGTACCGCCTTCTTGGGGAGGTAGGCGTAGAAGCAAATATGCTTCGCCGTGATGTACATGTAGCCCTGGAGGAGGACGCTCTGAAGCAACCAGCAGGGATATTCTGTCGCGTGTTAGCTACAGCGCGCGCGCACCGCATTGCAGCAGCAGCAAATGGGAGGGAGCCTACCCTCGATGACGGCCTCGGGATGGTCAAACTCAAAAATGTCCTGCAGGCGACGGGCCAGCGCAGTCGAGTTTGATTCGGCCGAGTCGCTGTACGTGAGCTGGTCGGCGGAGCGGCGGTCGACGTCGAAGCTGGGTCTCGCGGACATCTCAGCCTTGGCCTCCAGCATCCTGCTCATAACGGGGGCGAGGCGGTGGTCTCGATCGTCCTCCTCGTCCTCTTCTTCTTCTCTTATATCGCCGGCGGGTTGGGACGGTTGGGCTTCGGAGCCGTCGCTCGCTTCTTCCGAGGGGGACTCCAGCTTGGATTTTTCCTTCTTGGACTTGTGTCGCGGCAGACGCGGCAGGGCCGGCAGCGAGCGGAGGAGCTTGGAGCCGGAGATCTTGCGCCGGTGCTTTTCGCTCTTGGAGGAGGAGTCCTTCCTCAGGACGGTGGTCTTGGAGACGTCCGACTCGTCGTGGGGCCGACGCTGCTTGCGATGGAGGAGGTGGCCGAGGCCGCCGTGGGTCCTATCCTCGCCGGCGCCGAGGTGTCGGTCGTGGCTATCGCGGTCGTCGGCGCTCTCGTCGTCGCTGGACTCGAAGCGATCGTGGAAGTCGACGCGGGAGCCGGCGGCGGCGATGAGGCCGAAGATGGACTGGTTCATGTTCATAAACATGGGCGGGCCCTGGGTCGGGACCAGATCCTCCTCTCTGCTGTCGTCGCCCTCCTTTAACCTTTCGGGCAGTTCCATGGTTGGTGTGTTTGGCTCGAATCGCTTCTTCTGGAGCTTCTTGCCTACGCGCTTCTTGATCTCGTCGTCTCCGCCGAAGCTGACGCTCGCGGCACCCGCGGGGCCTGGCGTCGCCATGGCTATCGAGATTGCGCTGGGTCGGCGGTGGTTGAGCGAGCAAGCGAGCGGTATGGCGAAGGCTACCTTGGTAGAGGGAGAGCTTCGTTTGGATCGGCAACCTTTATTGTTGTTAATTTTTTTTTTACCTGGCGAGGTAAGAGGTGGAGGAGGTGGGGGACGTCAGAGCAGAGGGTGCGTCGGAGGAGGGCGGGGGGAGAGAGAGGGAGTCGAGTGTGGCTACAGCGGGTTCATTCGTGCGACGGCGATAAGGTTTCAAGCTCGACGGGAGAGTTGCGGGATGCGCAACGGAGGGAAACGGCCGGCCAGGGTTGATTCAAGCAAGGTTGAATCGCAAAGAAATACTGCTATGGTTGCTCTTGGGGGGTGGTGGGTGGATGGCCGATTGGTTTGGGACGAAGACGGACAGAAGCAGATGACAAGAGGCTAGCCGGGCTGTACAAACGGGTTCAAAGGGGTTATTATGTAAGACGAGGCAAGCGGAAAGGAGAAGTACAGCGTCAGGTCAAATAAAGTAAGTAGGTAGGCAAAGTCAGGGGATTAGGCGATCAAGGTCAGGTAGGTAGGTAGGTAAGGTGAGGTATCAATTAGAGAGAAGGTTCAAGCCGGACCAAAGCCCCGGAAAGGACGGAGACTGCGAGTTTGGGACGTCGGCTAGGCTACCGTGAGGCGAAGATCATGGATGGCTGAGGTGGTACTCCGTACATGAAAAAGCAACTTCTGGCGAGGCAAGGTACTAGGAGGAAAACGAGACGTGTGATGGGATGGATGTGCAGGGGAAAGAGTTGAGGCAGACAAAGAGTCACAGAGAGAGAGAGACGCAGAGAGAGTGAGTGAGAGATTGAGTGAGTGAGTGAGTGAGTGAGCGGGTATGGAAAAGGAGGGAAAGAGGGACCTGGGACTTGGACCGGACAGGCAAAACAGCATGGCAGGGTCAGATGCAAGTCCACTCATTCTCGTGCTCACTGGCTTTGGCACTGGTTGGTTTAGGTGGTTCAACTGTTTGCGCCATAGATTCCCGAGACGGATAACAAGAATTGTCCGGGAGCAGCAGACACACACACACACACACACACCCACCCGTCCCACGTAGCACTAATACATGGTACCAGATAGACAGTATCAAATGTGCCCCCCTTAGTCCTCCGGCCTCAGTTCTCATCAGTCCGACGAGTGTCATGAGTGTTCTCCCAAATCGAGTCGAGTGACGACAAGAGAGAGAGAGAGGCGTGCACTGGCTTAGCAGCTTAGCAGCAAGGACCCCTTGGCCGCACCTCGGCAGCAGTTGGGCTGTGGGCTGCGCCGTGTTCTGTGCGCAGATGCACGCGATGCCGCGCCAAAAGTACGCGCATTTCCCCCCTCTCCGTTCGCTCTCTTCTCCAGTGATAAATAGTACATCCCCTGTCACCCTCCGAAAGAGACGCAAGTCCAGGGGTCCAGGCATGGTCCCTTTCTGTCCGGCTCTCATTGGACGCTAGAGGAAGATGCGAGTGAGGCCTGACAGTAGTGGGTTCATGGATCGCAGCGCTGATTGCAGGAAGCTTGTGATGCGAGGTGGCCCTTGCTTACTACCTCACAGCACTACATATGTACCTAGTGCTCTCTGAGCGTCTGTGAGAAGCGAGTACGGATACCTACTACTGGTACGTAGTCAGCCCAAGACCGTTCGCCGCATGCTGTGATGCCGTATGGAAGCCCCAAAAGAGGAAACCGAGGCAGGAGGGTCCCCTCCCGTGGTTGCCTCACTGAGTCAAGAGGGAGCCTTGCATGCAGGCGAAGAGAAGAAGGGAGAGGAGAGAAGAAGGAAAGAGCACAAAAGGTTAGGTTAGGTAGCGAGTAAGTGAGTGAGTGAGTGACCCTGTTTCCACCTGCCTTCTGACAGCGACAGTGGCACTGGACGACAAGTGGCAGGTGGCAGGTACTAGCTGGGCTGTGAGGGTCCACTCCCCCCAATGGATAACCCGCCTATCTACGTATGCCGCCCATCCTATTGGCCTCTGATAGCACAGCCTTATCGATAAGCTACCCTCATGACGCCAGAACGCACCATCCGGGTCCCATCACAAGATCTCGACAACAGGCATGGACTGCCATGTGAACCCGACCTGCCCGGCCCCAACCGTCCGCCATATCTCATCAGCAGACAGACAGACAGGACAGACAGCCAGGACCGGATATCCCAAGAGAACCACTCATGGTCGCTTCTCGAAACACGTTGGAACAAACTCCCGCAGCACTGCCGGGCTCACGCTCTCCCAACTGCTGGAGGACAGGAGCCTGAGGGACCAGAGCCCAAGCAAGAATGACATCAGCCCAGACGTGGCCGCAAACAATCTCCAGCCCGGGCACGCTATCGCTCTCAGATCGGATTGGATTGCATCGCGGGGGGGCATCCCAGATGCGCCCCATCCAGAGTCTCCTCTTTTGCTGAGAGCCGCACCCAAGCTCCATAACTTTCAATCGAGAAGAAGTAAACAAGAGCAGCTGGAGAAAAAAAAACACAACGTCTCTGAGGTACCCGAGACACCAAGCAGTCCCACTGCGGGGTCTGATCGAGTGCTTTCCGAAAAGGCTTTCTTGATTGAGAGCGACGCCAGTGACGCGTTGAAAGATCCTTTTCATAAATACAGACGTATATGGAATTGAGAATACACAGTTAGTCGCAACTCGTCTTAAACAGTCACCGGTATATACAGATGACAGCTCGCTCGAGCCTACCGTGTGGCCCGACGCCTGACGTAGTTGAGGCGTCCGAGTTGCGTGAGGCTCGTGGGTTGCTTGGGCTTTCATCCCTCTGGTCGTCACTCGACATGAGACGGTCCACGCCCCGTCCCATGGTTCGTGTTTGTTCCCGCCGTCTAATCTGGAAATCTCCATCAGAAATGCTGGAACTAAGCAAGCATTTGAGAGATTGTCCTTTGCTTGTGTACCGCTGTTGCGCTCGCCTTGGCGTGAAGCCAAGACCCGGACCCGAAATGCCGCTTGGCACCGCCGAGTGCTACTGCGGGGGGCGGGGCTCGAAACCACAAGAGGGGGGCCGACCGTCGGCGCCCCTCGGCCTCAGCGACGACGTCTATAGTATAAACTCGACCCGTGTTGGCGTCATCCCATCTCATCTCTTTGTGCTCGTAGACTCCTCCGTCCAACTAAACAGTGCGTTCCTGCTCATCGACGGTCCCAGCGCTCGCCCGACCTCACGCCATCCAAGCATCTCCTCCTCGGTGCCTCACCACTGCAGCCAAAGCCCTCCCAATAGATAGCCCAGCATGAGGTAGACTACTCAATACTGCTCTGACCACATTATTTGCCCCGTCTAACGTCACATCCAGTTCCCAAGAAACCCCCTTCAACGAGGACAACCTCCCGCCAACCGGACCCGCACCGCCTTCCCGCTCCCCGTCCCAGCTTTGGCCCTCGACTTCCGCATCGTCGTGGACCTCAACCCCCTGATCCCCGTCGGCGTCGGGCCCTTTGGACAGCGGAACTGGATCTCCTTCTCCGGGGGCGTCTTCACGGCCACGTGGGGCACCGGCACCGTCGTCTCCGGCGGGCAGGACAGTCAGGTCGTCGTGGCCGAGAGCCTGAGCACCGCCGTCGAGACGTCGTACCTGCTCAAGACGGACGATGACGTGCCCGCCTACATCACCGTGAGGACGACGGGGTGGCGGACGGGGCCGCGGGGGGTGATGGAGAGGCTGTTTGACCCCGCGCGGGCCAACGACGTCAAGCCGGACGAGTACAGTTTCCGGCTGAACGTGAAGATGGAGACGGGGGACGAGAGGTACAAGGATACTGTGAACACGGCCATGTGGGTTGGCAGCGGCGCCCGGCTGGGGGCCACGGTCATCTACGATGCCTACCGCGTGGTCTGAGGTGGCTCAGCTGCATACTATGTGTGGCTAATGAAGTAATGAGACTATTGAAAAAGATGTCAGCTTATGTTCTTGATGTGTTGCATCCATCTCGTAGCTCATTGTGAGCGAATATGTGAGATACGCTTGATTGAGTTCATTGATAAATTCTGGTGATTGTCTTAACGTTGAAGGTTTTGAAAAAGGAGGTAAGACGATGGGCTGTTAGTCACCAGCAAATCGTTCAACACTCGAAGAGATGGATTTACTTGCTTGAGTAGGATCTAAATATTATCCAACGGCTTTTGGTATGATGATCAATTCACTTCTCGATGTTTTCACTCTCCAAAATGAGCTGACTGGCTACCTGGGGTTGATCCAGACTTCCGAGACTTCCTTGGGTATTGGCATCGACCATGTAACCACTTGCAACACATTGCCTATACGCAACACCGACTGTTCCTAACTACGCTTCTTGAGACCTGGAGCCTATTTGATCAACAGCTATATGCAGTGTCGCCGCCTCTGACATGCCTCTTTGCGTACATTTCGCTTTCACGCATGCCGGCACCCTATCACGCGTAGAGCTGAGGACCGCCTCTGACAACAGCCGTAGCTTCCCATACACGACGACAACGTTGTTAAAGGGTTACAGACACGCGAAATCACCAGCTTTGTCTTGGACTGTTGCTGCTCCCCTCTACCAGTCTGCGACTCATCGACTCTAGGCCGAGGGAGAATCAATATCACAGGCAAGAACATCAATGTTGAGGACGAGTGAGCAAGACATCAAAGGAGAGGTACTTGAATTTCGTGTTTGTTTATAGATTGATTGATTTCCTCCATGATGAGATCTAGCAAAGCAGTATCTATAGGATGTGTCTATGCAGATTATCATGAAATCACTTTACCCCTGACCTCTTTTTAGCCAAGGTCCCTCAATATGATCCTCAACCACAGAACAAGGCCCTCGACATGCCCAACCCGCAATCCCAACCGACTTGACGACAGGTATGTGCTAAGCTGGCCACAGGCCAATATGCCGTTTGAGCAACCTTGAACACAGTTATTTTGAAACCCGTGGTGTAGCCACCACAACAGAATGGTCCTCCTGATCCCCAACGCCGCGCAAAAGAAGAAGCCAATCCAATATCCCCCATCCGTCGCCGATGACGGACATTCAGTGTACAAAAAGATGGCGTTTACCTGCAAACGTCCGTGTTCGTGACAGAGCGAGGTCCATCCCAACTTGCAAGGCGCTTGACAGCATACCACCCAGCTGATGACAAAGGCTCACATCCAGAGGCAGAGTTTGCCGCTGGCGGTGCCGCCTGCAACCCAGTCCATCGTCGGATGGAACTGGGCGACTGCAGGGACAGCCGAGATGCCATCCCCGCCTAGCTGGGCAAGCTGCTCGCCGTTGGCGGCGTAGACATCGACGAACCGGTTCATGTTTCCAATGGCAAACTTTTGAATGCCGTCCTTGGGCCGTTTTTGCCACTGCGGTTTGAGAATCGTTACCCAGCGGCCGGTCTGGTTGTTGTGCTTGACGATCTCCTTCGGTTCCATGCCGCTGCTGTCCCAAGTACTGTGGTCCGCCCAGTCGTAGATCTTGATTGTGTCGTCGTATGACGACGTCGCGATCTGGCCGCCCGGGCTCCAGGAGGCGTGGGAGACGGAGAGCCTGGAGTCGTGCTCGTAGAGCATCGCCGGGAAACGCATGTCGCCCTTACCAGAGATCTTGCGCAAATCCCAAATCTTGATGCTCCGGTCTAGCGAGGCAGTGGCCAGCAGATGCGGCTCACGTGGGTTCAGAGAAAAGCCGCCAATCTTGTTATCCGACAGCTGCCATGTCTCAAATCCCTTCGGGTCGCGCATGTCAACTTTTCCCACAGCTCCGGCGAGGGTTGAGAAGTAGACAAGGTCCTTGTTGGTAAGGGGGATGTCGATGGCCGACAAGGGAACATCCTCCTCTTTATCTGCGGGCTCCCAGACGGGAACGCACACGTCCTTGGCCAAGTCGAGAACGCGGATCGTGGAGTCATACGACGAGGTGTAGACTTTCTGGTGGTCAAAAGGTGAGACGATAATCGTGGTAATGGTTCGAGAGTGGATCTTGTAGGCGCCAATCTCCGGCTCTTTCCACTCTGCCTCTTCGTCATCGTCGTCATTGCTCTCCGGGGGGCCCTCCTGCGAAGCGTCGAAGACACCGAGGGCTCCTTCTTTGTCGCCGGCAAAGATGACCGCCTTCTCCTCGGTGGGATGGAAAGTCGAAGCGTATATACGTTGAGGACAGATCTTAATATCTGCAAGCATGTCAGTGAGGTTCTCGCGACAGGACAGGGAAGCAACCCACCATTGGGAATCCACTTGTCGTAAAGCTCCAGCTTGCCCATTTTTTTCCTAAGGTCCTTGAGGTCCTTGTCGGATGTGTTCTCAATATCCTCATCGGTGAAGGTAGGCACTCCAGGCTGGGCGCCGCGAGGCACCAGCGAGCCCAGGCCATCAATGCCCTTGTTGAACTTCTTGCCCTCGACGGCGATGTCACCCAAGCTAAGGGTCCCACCGACACGCTTCTTTTTGGCCTTCTCCTTGGCAGCCTGGTCTTCGAGCTCGACCTCGTACTTGCGTTTCAGTGTCTCGTTATCGGCGTCAAGTCCGGCGACGCGGGCACTACGACGGACGGGCCCCGCGGCGACAGCTACTGCCTCCTTCTTGACAGGAGCGGACCGGGTTTTGGGAGCCGGCTTCGGCTTCGCAGGCATAATCTTATTTGACGTTTGTGCCAAGTCCTTTAATATGCTTTGGTTCCTCGCAATGTTTTCCCGGCGCATGCGCTCGAAGGCGCTGATGGCCTCCTCGGGCTCCTCCTTCTTGACCGGCATGGTTGCAGCTGGCTACAGAAGAGTGCAATGCTTGCAATTCGGCGTTCAAACAAGGGGCGAGGACTCGCAAATCTGTCTCTGGGGGCCGGAATTGCTGTAAACAGTCTGTGAATGCGTCAGACAGGTGGTTGGCAAGGCGTGACTCGGTCGAGGTTGCGATATGAACAAGCGCGGCGCTTCGCGGGTTGAGCCGAGTCCACAAAGCCAACACGAGAAAGTTCGACTCACTCGTAAAAAGGTGTGCAGTGAGAAAAGCCCGTAATTCCGGCAAAGTGACTTAAGAGTCGTCCTTGTAACCTTGTAACCAAGATCGCAGTCTGCGATTGAGCGCAGTGGATGGATGTTGCTAGGCCACGACAAACGGAAGGGGAGGCGGTTTCGAAGCCTTGGAAGGAGCGCGTCGGAGGCGACTTTCTCTTCCTGCTTTAATTGACGTAGAACGCGTCGCAACGCGTCTCGTCCTCGGTTCTTGGCTCCTTCCTGCAGGGGGTTTAAGCTCGATTACGTCAGCAAACGTTGGGCTCTGCAGGGACCTCGTTAGAACGGCCCAGGGCCAGTCTTTTGGTCCCTGAATGGGCCCGAGCTCCCCTGTACTTACTGTACAGAGCAGCGTGGATGGAAATTTTGTTCCTCGGCGCAGTTTGCCGGGAATCGACGATCGCAAACTTTCGGCTTGCAAAGCTTCAACCGACGCACTGCGCAACAAAGACAGCCACAACCGCCATGTCTACTACATTGACCCCTTTCCTCCACCAAACGAGGACCATTCTCAGAGCCCCCGTGGCTCTCCGGACTTTTTCGACATCCGCAGGCCGACACCACGCCTACCCGCGAACGCGCGGCGAGCAGAGCATCCCCTTCGAATGGGACAGCCCAGCCAACGAACAACCCGACATCCCTAGCGGTCTCAACAACCCCGAGAAGTCCACAATCACCCCGACCGAGAAGTTCATCTTCCAAAACATCTTTGCCGATATTGCGAAGCGCAGCGGCGGCATACCCTGCAGGGCACCCCCCACGATGCCGACGCCGCACAGTCAGAAGCAGGACTTGAGTCTCGACCCCGCGATGCGATCCTGAGCAAGTTCCCCCGCTCCCTGCGTCGCGCAGCCCAGGCCGCTTTGGAAATGCGCGACGTCCAGGGTGACACGCTGTCCTCCTCCCGCGTCTCCTTCAAGCCGGAAGAGGAGGACCTCGAATCAGACATGGACCTCGCGGCCGAAAGGGAACAAGCAGCGAGGCTAGAAGCCGCGCGTAACGAGATTCGGACCCTCGAGATTGTTAGGCTCCAGGCGCTTCTGGACCAGTGCAACACCGATGCTGAGGTCTGGGATGTTCTGGAACGCGAGGTCTTCTCCATGGTCGCGAAGTTGGGAATCTCGGAGGGCGAGGCGCAGACGCAGCCACCGCCGGAAGCGGCAAAGAAGGGCAAAGCCAAACCAAAGCAGCGGAAAAGGGCCGAGAAACCCGAACCGGCCCTCGACATGGACTCCCACGGGCCACTGTATTCGATGCACCTCCTCCAGGGCCTCAAGACCCTCGACCAATCATTCGCGCGGCCGTCGGCCCTTGCCTTCAAGATTATTCCGCGCGTCAAGGAGCTCGGCCTCGCCTCGTACGTTCTCGGCGTCTCGACCCCCTTTTACAACGAGCTGGCCAACATCCTCTGGTACCGCCACGGTGACACGCAGGCCGTGCTCGCCGTGCTTGACGAGATGAAGTTTGCAGGGTTGTTCTACGACCAACAGACTCTGCGCCTGGTTGACACCATCGAGATGACCTTGGATTCCTTCCGGCGCGGCCAGCTGGGCATCTTCTCCAAGGCTATCGGCAACATGCCGGGCTATAACCTGGACGTCAAGTCCCGGCTTGCGCGTTACTCCCAGCGTGTGCGCAATAACGTCAAGGAGCAGAGGGACATGGCGAGGTATTAGGATGGCCGGATGTAGTAATATAGAGGCCGCTTTCTGCAATGGCGGCTTGTACAAGACATTGTAACATATTTGTAATCTTAACACTGCTCATATCAATCTGATCTAATTGATCAGTGACACAACAGGGAGCGCATAGCTCTGCTATCTGGCGCAAGCTGCCAAAACAGTTCGAGCCGCGGCACAGCCGCACTACCCAAGTATCTCGATGCTTCCGCAAGGCGGCTCATGTGAATACAAATCAACCTGGCTGAATTGAGGAAGCAACTTGCTTAAACATTCGCCTCGTGCCCCAAGGTTCCTAGCGCGCCGCCAGACGCTTGCCGGATTCTCTTGGCACCAAAGAAAGTTGGCGGCACAGAGTGACTGACCCAAGGCCGCGGGAACCAGAATAAGGGCTGCAGCTATCGCGCCATGAGCCCATTTCAAGCCCATGAGCTGAGGTGCTTTGTCCGCGGCCCAGGCACTGAATTTTCTGCCCAAGCATTCCAAAAGAATTCAAATCAGTATAAGAAAGAAAACTGTGGTATGCTATTCTAACTAGATTGGTTCACAGAGACCGAGTTTCCCCAAACCACATTGTTCGGAATGGCGTCTTCGAGACTACGCCGAACAATTATAGACGTCGAGCCACTGAACGCCCTCAGGGTCAAAGATTTGATGAATGTACTCCCATCCTCTCAGATCTGAGAGCTGTATCATGATCGCCCGATGGGCAGCGTCATCTTGGCCTCAAGACTATTAAACAACTGCCGGAGGCACGGTGAACCACCATGATGTGTGGCAACCTCCATCGCAAGCCCCTCCGATCTAGTCAAAGAAAAACATGTAGCTTGTTAGTAATGCACCAGAGAGTCCAAGCTGGTCCATACCCGTTGGATATTAGTCAGGCACTGCCCTGTAAAAGTCCGGCATTTATTCCATTCGAGAAAGAAGCTGCACGTAACTGCCGAGGCCCGCCACAGCAACATCGTAGAGAAGAGGTGCGGCTGAAAGCTTGAGTGTTCTAGCAAGAAACTACGATGATTGCTGGTTAGCATAGAACCTACTTTGACTCTGTACATAATGTCACTTAAGTCACAACGGACAATAAAGTTCAAGCTTTGGCCAAGTCTTGGAATAGGTATGAAGCCTACACACCATAAGCTTATGGATCAGGAAGAAAAGCTTCAAGATGACAAAGCACACTCTGGAAGGATACCTGACAAAGTAAGGGCAGTCTCAGAGCTCTCTGGGAGGCATCGAAAATCAGGTGGCTATGTTCGTTGGCGGTCGGTCTCTCACATTTTTGTCAAAGATTCTAAAGGCCAAGTCTCCATGTTCACGAGGCAATAAATCACTTTGGTGAAGCCACGCTTCCCTGCAAACTTTCATGACCTAGTCGTCTATCCTTGGATAGATAATTCATCTAGTCTTTGGGCGGTGTGAGGATGTGGGTAACGGGACAGGAACTCTCTCTCTCCTCATTGAGGTCATCATGTTGAGTGTATTAAGAGCAGCAACTCTATCTATCTATCCAGTCTTACTATAATCAAATTCTGTTTACGAATGATGGATGGGTCTAGAGAATCGGTCTTTTTCACTCAACAAAAAAAACACTGTTATTATTTATATTTATAGTAGACAGAGTCCAACAAGGTTGAATCTGAACCCCAGTATCGATTCTAACGGCAACAAACGTTCATTTAGTAGTGATTGCTAATTTTGCATGGAATTATCATCTATTTCGACGATGAACCAAAACGTACACGTTAAAAACGACAGAGTGAGTAAGCACTAAGTCTATGTATATGTATGTGTATGTGTATGTATAACTTGCAAAAGGTGAAGTTGCGGCCAGTGTGGATTGAACACACGACCTTCAGATTGATTGAATGAAGTTTCTAGGGTTTAGAACCCACTTCAGTCTGACGCTCTCCCAACTGAGCTATGTCCGCCGCCATCTTCGAGGTCCATTCGTGGGTGTTGGTATTATGACTCCAGGACACACAACAGGCAGATGGCCACGGCGACAGTCGACCTGCTTAAGAGTTGAAGCCTTACTTACCCTACAGACGTGTCAAGCCAGACGGATAAGAGTCATGAAGGTGGTCATGACAGGCCCAGCGTGGGTGTGTGCATCGCCTCGTGACAATTTGGTCTCCCTCACTGACGCAGTGCCACCATCCGCGAGTCACTCTGAGACAAGCGCCCAAGTGTTCAGCTTCAAATAAGGTACGGTTTATTTTATTATGCCCAGTTGTCCGAAATGCTCCGTTGAAGATGGCACCCCTCGGCGTCGCTAGCTGAGACGCGGCCACAATGCCTCATGCTGGAAAAAAAATGTAGAGAATCCTGCTTTTCATGTCGCAGAGTCATGACCCGAATGAACACCCAAATCACACGCACACACACACATCCTCCATCGTGTGCATGCATTGCCTTTCCCCCCGTTGGGTCCAGGCTCGTTGGACCACAAACAACGCTAAGCCTCCCTTTGCTCTTTGCCTCTCTCTCCTTTTACCATCCGCGGGTAGCCAGCTTCTCTTCGGCCTTTAAGCTGTCGCAGTTGATGCCGACCATGGCCTCACCAAGCCCTCACTGCACTCGGCGAGGACCTTGGCGTCCTTGTAGTGCGTGGTCGCTCTCACGATGGCCTTGGCGCGCTTCGCCGGGTCGCCGGACTTGAAGATGCCGCTGCCGACAAAGACGCCATCGCAGCCGAGCTGCATCATCAACGCGGCGTCGGCGGGGGTGGCGACACCGCCGGCGGCGAAGTTGACGACGGGGAGACGGCCCAGCTCCGCGGTCTGCTGCAGGAGCGTAGGGTCGACGCCAATCTCCCTCGCCATGGCGCGGATGCCAATGACGCCCTCGGTCTGGAGGATGGCCTTGGCGCGCGCAATGTCCTTGGTGACCGTCTTGACGTGGGTGACGGCCTCGACAACGTCGCCGGTGCCGGCCTCGCCCTTGGTGCGGATCATGGCGGCGCCCTCTGCGATCCTGCGCAGCGCCTCGCCGAGGTTCCTGCAGCCGCAGACGAAGGGGGCCTTGAAGTCGGACTTTTCGACGTGGTAGACCTTGTCGGCGGGTGTGAGCACCTCGCTCTCGTCAATGTAGTCGACGCCGAGCGCCTCGAGGATTTGGCACTCGACAAAGTGGCCGATGCGGGCCTTGGCCATGACGGGGATGGTGACGGCGGCCTGGATCTCCTTGATGACGGCCGGGTCAGACATGCGGGCGACGCCGCCGTCCTTGCGGATGTCGGCGGGGACGCGCTCCAGGGCCATGACGGCGCAGGCGCCGGCCTCCTCGGCGATGCGGGCCTGGGCCGCATCCGTCACGTCCATGATGACGCCGCCCTTGAGCATCTGCGCGAGGCCGGCCTTGACGGCGAACGAGTTCTTGGCGGCATCGCCGTTGGCGCCGTTGGCGCCGTTGGTCTTGGTTGCGTCGTTGTTGGTCATCTTGACTCGGGGGTTTGCGGTGATCCAAGGGAATGGCGGGGAGGGTATTCTGCTCTGAAAGAGAGGCGATGGCGTAGTTTGGTGGGATGATACAGAAGGGTCTGAATCGAGACGCCGGGAATAAAACGGCTTGGTGAGTGAGGGGTATCTTATTTTTTTTTTTCAGTCAATCAGAGAGAAAGGCAGGCCTCAATATGGTCAAAAGGGACTTGAGATGCTCCGCTTCGTGATGGGTCTAGTTGTTTTGTTCGGAATCCGGGGAAAAGGGGTCTTTGTCAGGACGACGACGGAAAGGAAACGAAAGGGGGGCGATTTAAGTATATGTCGGCGGCGACGGCGACTACTCGATGATGCATGCTGCTGGTGCCGCTGCTATGCTGCGCGGCAACAGATTGGACGATGAAAATTTTTACACTTTTTCTGTACCGAGTCATCCCGTCTTTGCCGCGGAGGACCCTTTGCGATTCTGCATGGCTTGGAGGAGGGATTCCGAGGGAACACACCGTCAGTCTCCTAAGCCGAGAACCCCCCCCTCCAGTGGTGGCCGAGGCCGTGACTGAATCGGCGGCGACTCCTGGCCGTAGGGAACCCCTAGGGCCATGCCACTTGACCATAGATGGGAGGAGGGGGAGTTGACTGGCGAGAGAGGACGGACGGAGGCCCGATCTCGGAAAGGCAGGATACGGTTACTCCGGGTCCTGGTGCAGGGGCAACCTTAACAGAATCGCAGTGTCATCGAAGTCTCCAGTCTCCAGTCCCATGTTCCGTGGCGCACGGCGGACGGCCCACGCACCGGTGTTTGAACGGGTGGCGGAGTCTGATGGGATGATTGCGGTGCTGGAGAAGAAGCCGCAGGTGGATTTCCACAAGTGGACATGTATGGATGGTCCGACATACCTGTATCCCCTCTTGACCATGTCTTGGTGATGATCCCCGGCGCCGCGAGGGGGCGGATGCACGTATGGATCTACAAACAGAGTCTCTACAACTGTCCTGCATGGTGCTGGGGTCTCTGTACATACAGCTCCGAACGGCGGCGAAGGTCCAAGATGACCAAGGGCGGGCGGCGAGCGGTTGCCATCGGATGTGAAGCCGAGAGCCCCTCCAACACAAGCCGCCTGCCGCACAGTCTCTTCCGCGCGGAGGACAAGGTGGTGGTGGTCAATCGCTCGCCCCATCGTGTCCCGCCTGTTTGAGCTAGTTGTATGCGGCCTGATGCATTGTCGTCTTTTCTCGCCGCCTCTCCATGCACTTCCATGTCTCCATCGGCCGGCCGCCTTTCCAAGTCCCGTTGCTCCGCCATTCGTTGACATCAACCACCAACAGCCGCTTGAACTCGTCTTGCGGCCGCGCCCTTTACGCCCTTTGCGCCCTTAGCAATACACGCAAAAGTACATAGTAGAACTGAGAGCGCGAGTCGGCCGGAGCGATCGGTCTCCCGACGCCCCTGACCGCCGACCCTCTCTGATTAAACCTCCAATTACTACTAGCGCGACTAGCAAGGGTCTACCACGAACCTTTATCGCCAAGGCCGTCCATCTAAACCCCATAGTCTGATTCCCTTCGTCTACGGATACTGTTCACCGGTCCGGAACCTGGTCTAAGTGTCCTCGAGGGCCGCAAATGACTCAACCGCAAGAACTGCAATATCCAACGACTCTCCCCCTGGACTGAGGAACTCTACACACCGTCTTCAACAACACCATCCTCACACAATGTCTACCGTTACCGTCGGTGTACTGGCACTCCAAGGCGGCTTCCACGAGCATGTCCAACTCACGCGGAAGGCCGCCGCTTGGCTCGCAACGGCCCAGTCGCCGGCGCTAAGTCCCAAGCCCGACATCGCAGCCATCGAGGTCCGCACCGAGGCAGAGCTCCGCCGTTGCGACGCCCTCATCATTCCGGGCGGGGAGAGCACCACCATCTCGCTTGTCGCGACGCAGTCCGGGTTGATGGAACCCCTTAGGGAATTCGTCAAGTAAGTAGGCCCGTCAACTTGTCCATGATGTCATCCCGCCAAAACGGGAAGCATTCCAGTCGAATGTTTTTTTCCCAGGTCATCTCAACCACTTCCCCTTGGGCTTCTTTAAGATTACATGAGACAACGTCTAATTCGCATGCCGCTCCAGAATCAAACAGAAGCCGGTATGGGGCACATGCGCCGGCGCGATCCTTCTTGCTGATGAAGCCAATGCTACCAAGAAGGGCGGCCAAGAGCTCATTGGGGGGCTCGCCGTTCGCGTTCACCGCAATCACTTTGGCCGGCAGATAGAGAGTTTTGTCGCCGACCTCGAATTGCCGTTCCTGTCGCAAGGTGACGGAAGCACGGAAACTGCCTCCTCGTCCTACCCCGGCGTCTTCATTCGCGCCCCCATCGTCGAGGAGATCCTTTCAACTGAGGCCAAGCCGTCGTCGTCAGTTGAGGTCTTGGCCGTTCTTCCCGGCCGCAAGACGAGGGCCGCCGAGGGCGTCAGCCAGAGCACAGCAGACGACTCGGTTGGTGACATTGTTGCTGTGAGGCAGAACAACATATTCGCCACGAGTTTCCATCCAGAGCTGACTGACGACATTCGCATTCACGTGTGGTGGCTGGAGCAGGTGCTTCGGTCTGTGGCATCGACATCATCTGCATGAGTTGCGGATATTACGAATGACATAGTATGATGCCGTGACCCATGATGTAAGACGGGCAGCAGCATTCCCCCCAACAATCGTAAAGCCTTTGACCAAGACCCACGCCAAGAGAGGCGTGCCGTTTCTGCATCGACGTTGAAGGGTGGCATGCTGCATATTGGCCCGCTGGCGCCAGCAGAAGAAAGTTACATCAGCAAGTGGCGGCGGCAACAGAGAGGTCCCGTTTCCTGCATCATGCAAAGACGCAACGGGCGGGAAATTTGCAGATCTTTGTGCCGGGTCGCAACGGGTGGGCAGAGGGGTCCGTAATTCTGCTTTGTCGTTGGAATGAGGAGTCATCGGCCAGTGACATCCGTGGCTTGCGCGGAAAACAAGCCTTGCGTCACGTACATCGCTTATGGACCATGCGAGGCTAGACGCCGTCTACGGACACGGCTCGGAACACAGGGACATTCATATGGAATTTGTCATGGGTATCGACAGACTACTAGACAGAACCTTTTTTTTTTTTCTTTACCGCACCGGATAGAAAAGAATTAGACACGACGGCTTCGTAAACGATCTTCTGGGTTTAGCGCAGCCGCCGACATAAAGGGAGTGTGGCGACGGTATCAGCATGGTGAAAGGGCGTGTTTTTCCAGGCCCGATCCTCATTCTACTGTTTCATCTATGCATATTTCCATGATCCTAGATCGCGATTCTTGAAATGCATCAGGTGCGTGGGCAAAGTGACCCGTGATTGCCACTGCGAGACTCAGACCAGTGATGGAATGGTCTTTGACGGTGTCTCATACCGACGACATTTCGACTGACATTTTCCCATGCGACCCAGAAGAGCGGCTAGTGCGGGAGATCTACGACAAAACAGGAACTCCATTACTGTCGGTTCTTGGTCTAAAAATATAAAACTGTTGGAATAACAGCACCAGCTGGTTGTACGACACGCACGACTCAGGGACACACATCATGGCAGAGGGCACAGACTGGATATTCGGCCCTCGGTTATCCATTGAGGGGATCAAAAGTATATTCATGCCGAACTGACTCAGGGACGTACGAGATCATATATCTTGTGTACGAAAGCCAAGTCTTGTAGTTAGGAAGATAATCACGGAAAATACATCTTTGGTTCACCCTAACTTTAACCCGAGTACGATCGTACAAACGGGTTCTCTCAGGAAGAGAGAATCCATTCAACACTGATCAGTGGTTGCTTGGCAATCCGTGCGATTGCTTTGTGCAATCACAGATTAGCAAGAGTGAAGAGACAAGACTTAGGCTTTACGGCCGGGCTACCGGGTAGTCTTGCACTTCGTGCGAGGCGAGAAATCCTCAGGGATACCTAAGGGGTCACGCTAGAAAGTCTCTTGTGCTAAGAAGCCTTAATCCTACCTATTGTCGCCTGCTAAGCTGAACCGGGTAGATAGGATAAAGACGACTTTTGCTTTACTATCGTACAAGACAGATTCCCGTTGTCGCCTGCTAAGCTGAACCGGACGAGAATCTTTATTGTACTGTACGTAGAGTACAAAGTGTGCGCCACGGCACCAAACAAACCAATTTTGACGTCGTACGATACGAAACGACTACCGAACACAACATGGCTTCCCAAGAGGATCCAGAAGACAATCGTCAAAGCCAATATGACAACATTGATGGATACCTGCCAACGTACGAAGAAATAAGTGCAAGGAGCGAAGTCCCACTGCACACGTGGAAGAAGACTGTGAATCCTAGACGCTGGGGAAATCCAGTCGATATTACACAGGCACCGTCCGAAGAAGAGATGACTACGTACATTGCGTACATCAACATGGAAATGCTTCATCTTAGGCAATCAAAGGAAAACCTGACAATATCACTGTACGAAGATTTCAACGAATGGTCTACCTTCCAATGGGAAAAGGTCTATCGTGCGTTCAGGGCAGAGTTCATACGACTTATTGAGCTAAAGGGATTCCGATTACCGCCAATAAGAAATGTGAATCAACAGTTGGTTGAATTCATCAAGGAGATTGGGAGGAAGTTTGATGAGCAAGAAGAACAGCTTTCTACTCGTACAGCACTTACACCAAGTCGTACGATTACAACAACTCAAACACCTGTTCGAAACCCTGAATCAACTTTACCCCAAAACACAGCTGAACCAACAACAGAGCCAATCGAACCCCCGTACGATACACAGACAACTCAAACATCAATCGTACGAGAGCAGTCACAATCAGCTTCAGGAAACATACCTCCTGGAACAAGATTCACACAGGAGGTTGAGAGTTTTCCACAAATCCAGGGTCGTACAACACCTTTACATCAAGGAGACAGCATCTATGACCTACCACCAAGACGAATAGTCCAGAATGGATTGTGCGAGCCAACTACAATTTCAATCTTCCAAAAGGGATGGAGAAAGGACAGGAATTATACGGGCAAGCCGTACGATATCCTGTACGACAAGGCAAAGGTCTTTATCAGTTTTTGTCGACGCCTCAGGATCACTGAAGACCAATACCATGCAGTATTTCCTGATATCTTGGCTGATCGTGCGGAAGAGTTTTATCTCCATCACATTGGACCAACAAGGAGATGGGACGAGATGTACAACATGTTAGAAATGCATTTTAACACTAACATCAACCACACTCTCTATTGGACAGATTGGACAAGTCTATCCTTCGCACGAGTCAGACAAGACAATCCAGACAAGAATCTGATGGACGTATTAGAGATACTCTTAGACAAGATACCCCTCGTACAACGGGCACTTGGCCCAGGTTTTCAGGGGGAGATTATGCTTCGTACGCAAGTCACCCAAGCGTGCAGAGGTGTACCAGAGCTAGAAACTGCTCTAAGCAATCTTAAAGCACATCACACGTGCGAGCAATTCTTTTCTAGTCTAAGAGCATCACTACAAGTCGCTTTAGACAGGAAGTCTATGTCGCACGACATCAACTTCGTGGATAGAAGGTACTCTAACAACAAGAGTTACCCACGACCATCGTACAATAGACCGTCAGACAACAGAGGATCTTCTCGACAACCTTGGAAAGGTCAACCTTCATCACGACCTAGGTTTAATCGTGCAATATCTAAGAAAAGATGTTTTGTGTGCAAGAAGGAGGGTTGTTGGTCTACGAATCATTCGGACGAAGAACGTAATCGCGCGAAAGACCAATACCTTCAGGCATGCGGTATACTTGAACAAGAACCACAGAGAGATTTTGCCTCGTACCTTCTTGACTTTGAAGGAGAAAACCCAGTGGACGAATCGTGCGATGAGGAGGGAGAATTTACAGGAGATGAAGAGACATCAGCTTTCCTAATGTCTTCTTCATTCTTCCATCGCACGACAGGGGAGGATATCTTTTCATTACCAAAGACGTCAGAGGCCTGTCAATTCTTGTTGCACGATCCTTATATCTCATCGTACCAAGGGGAACTATGGGATACAGGAGCAGCGAAGTTCTCTACTGTAGGGAAACCTCAAGTCCTTGCATACCTACGGGAGAACCCTCGTACGGCAATATCCTGGGGACCAGGATCAGCAAACGTACGATTCGGGGCAAGTGACTCAATCACATCGGTTGGCACTATGGAAATGGAGAATCAGCTTGGAAAGGTTACGTATCACATCCTTGATGCTCCTACTCCGTTCCTGTTTTCATTGTACGATGCAGACAGGTTAGGTGCATATTTCAATAACGTCGACAACGTGATTGTACGGCAGGATGGAAAACCTATCCCAGTCGTACGGAAATGGGGTCACCCATTCTTCAACCTTAGTCGCACAGAGGCCAGCATGTTCTTCACAGAAGGACAACTCCGAAGGCTTCACAGACGATTTGGACATCCTCGTACGGACCGTCTTTACCACCTCCTGAAGAAGGCTGGGCATCACAACATTGACATCAACATTCTAGAAAAGGTCCAGAAGTTTTGTCATCATTGTCAATCGCACGACTCAGCACCAAAGAGGTTTAAGTTCACACTTAAAGACGAAAGCTACTTCAACTATGAGATAGTTGTGGATGTCGTACGACTAAGAGACAAGAACGCCTTACACGTTATCGACACAGAGACAAGCTTCCAAGGAGCCACCTTCCTGAAGTCCTTATCTGCACGAGATACGTGGAATGCACTTTGCAAGTGCTGGATCAGCACGTACGTTGGTCCACCAGACCATATCGTACATGACCCAGGTACAAACTTCGCATCAGCAGAATTCAGGAACTATGCCGACATCATGGGCATATCGTGCGAAGAAATGCCAGTAGAAGCCCACTGGGCAGTAGGCAAGATAGAAAGAGCTCACGCTCCTCTGAGGCGTGCGTACGATATCTTGTATGCTGAGCTTGGGCACAACACGGACGAGGAAACCATCCTCCAGATGGCTGTGAAGGCATTGAACGACACAGCTGGTCCGCACGGCATCGTACCTACACTACTTGTCTTTGGGACATATCCAAGGATTAACAAGGACTCACCTCCATCGCCCGAAATCACCCAAAGGGCAGAAGCAATCCAGAAGGCAATGAAAATGCTTCAGAGCATTCGTGCAGAAGTAGAGATCAATCGTGCGATCAACACCAGAAATGGCCCTAACCTCCAGAGCATACTATCACTACCGATCCAGAGTGAGGTTCTAGTATGGAGAGAAAACAAGGGATGGACTGGACCGTACGAAGTCCAGGCTATAGAAGGCCATACAGTGACAGTCAAGATGGTCAATGGTCCTACACAGTTTCGTGCGACACATGTCAAACCATACCATCAAGACACAGCACAGTCAGATTCAGATATCGCACGACCTATTCCTCAGAAACAGCCAAACAAGAGAGGAAGACCAAAGAAAGGCCAGAGAAGGGCTGTACGACAATCACCACGTACCAATCAAGCATTTCTATCTCAGAAAGAAAAAGACCACAAGGAGTTAGCAGAAAAGTTACGGCTTGACAATGTGATTACAACACCAGGTGCTCCGTACGAAGAGTCAGACCAAACAGAGATAGACAACCTTATTAACCAGGGAGTCTTCACCTTTGTACCGTACAATCCAAAAGAGCATGACCACCTCCGTATCTACAAGACACGGATGGTACGAGAGATCAAGAACTTGTCATCTAAGCCGTACGAGAAGTCAAGACTCGTCGTACAAGGGTATGGGGACTGGGAGAAAGAAGAACTCTTAACCCAGGCACCTACTATCCAACGGATGAGCCAAAGGCTCATACTTGCGATTGGACCTACCCTTGTGCGAGACTACAAATGCAAAGGGGAACTCAGAGACATAACTCAGGCATATACACAGTCGGACGATCGTCTAACCAGGACAATTATCGCACGACTACCCAAGGAGTTAGAAGACAAATACCCTAAGAACACACTTCTCCATATCTTGAAACCACTATACGGCCTAGCAGAGTCAGGCCTATACTGGTACAAAACCTATTCTGAGCATCACAAGAAAGATCTGAAGATGACAGAGTCAACGTACGATCCATGCTTGCTGTATACAACAGAAGGACCGGATACCTTCGGGATTACAGCTATGCAGACAGACGATACACTTAGCTTTGCTACACTTGCCTTCTCCCAGAGAGAAGAAGAAGAGCTGAGAAGGAAAGGACTTCGTGCGAAACCAAAGACCACCTTATCGCCCAACAGTGAAATTGACTTTAATGGGGGAAAGATTCAATCGCACAATGACCACATTACCTTTACTCAAAAAGGCCAGGCAAAGCACCTGAAACTCGTTGATCCTGATGCGCACGATGCACATCAGCAGTATGTTTCCCAAAGGGCAAGAGGAGCATACCTCGCATCTATCTGTCAACCAGAGGCATCGTACGACCTGTCAACTGCAGCCCAAACTAAGGAGCCTGATAAGAAGGATATTGAAGCTTTGAATGTACGACTTCAGTGGCAAATCGATAACCCTACACGAGGTCTTACATATATCCCTCTTGATCTCCATCGTGCGAAGATGTACATCTTTACGGATGGATCATTTGCAAACAACTCAGATCTATCGTCACAACTTGGATTTGTTATCGTACTAGCTGAGGAAACAGCTCGCACGACAACAGACTTCCAGATCAAAGGAAACATTATACACTGGAGTTCAACAAAGTGCAAGAGAGTCACACGAAGCGTACTTGCAAGCGAGTTGTACGGGATGACCACAGGATTTGATAGTGGGATATCCCTTAGTACGACACTTACCAAGATCCTTCGTACATTACAACTCCCAAGGATTCCAGTTATCATCTGTTCAGACTCACGATCTCTGTACGAGTGCCTCGTACGACTAGGCACAACAGATGAAAAGAGGCTTATGATTGATATTATGAGTCTACGTGAGTCGTACGAAAAGAAAGAGATCTCAGAAGTGAGATGGATTGATGGGAAAGATAACCCTGCCGACGCCTTCACCAAGAAATCGCCAAACTCAGCACTTGGACAATTGATTACAACAAACACATTGAGGATTCGAATCGAGGCGTACGTTGAAAGATTAGGAGAAAACACTTGACAATTAATTCGTACGACCTCACCGCCGTACGTTACCAACTATCTGAAAACGAAGTGTAACCTCAAGAAGGTATCTGATATACCTGACCACTACCAATTCCGATATCAATGTCGGATCGTACCTCCACCATATCCACAACCTTCCCGAATTACCATATCGTGCGATCCATCTGATTGTCGTACGAGATTTCAGGGAAGAGAAGTTGTGCGACTACTCCTTGTCGATAACCATGGGGCTGGCAGAAGTGCCAAGGAAGCGACCGCCCTTGCCGATGTTCTTGCCAAGCTTGCTGCCAGGCGTACGAGGCTCACGAGCATTAGTGACGTTGGGAGCCTTGTAGTTGCTGGGGCCGCCGTTGTCATCATCGTCATCATCATCGCCCGGGTTGTCGGACGAATCAACATCTCGACCGCGGTGGGTGCAGCGAGCGCCGTGCGACTGCTAGACGCACTCGGCGCAGGCGCCACCCTGAAAGGTGGGAATGCGGGTGCACTGGCGGAAGCGCGGGGAGTCAGTAGTCGCGCATTTATTGCCACAGGCAATGGCCGCACGACCACGAGACTGAACCAAGACCGCAAGGAAGTAGCCCTGGCGGCGGATGATGCTGGCAACAAACTGCTGGACAGAAGTGTTGCTAGTGACGCGGATCTCGATATCGCGCGACGGCATGTTGATGATGAGACGCTCCTCATCCTGCAGTCAAGGTTAACGTACGAAGACAAGGTAAGGACAAAAGCAACGTACGTTGATGGCCAGAGCCAACAGAAGAGCGCGATTGTTGGCGTTGCCAGTCGGAAGACGAAGCCAACGACCACCGGACGCATCGGTATGCATACCGATGTTGCCGAAGATCGAACCACCGGGGGCAGCGAGAGACATGATGGATTGATCGTGCGAGGTGCTATTGATGAATCAGTAAGAGGAAACGTATGAGAGGAAATCCTACGTACAAGTAGTTGTTGTTGGAGTTGATTGAGGAAGAAGGGGAAAGATCGTCGTTGATCGATTGTATGGGAAAACGACGCGTGCGAAGGGTGAAGAAGAAAAGAAAAAGAGGAAAAGAAAAAAACAAGTGAGAAGGGGTTTAAATAGCTAAGGTTGCCGTACGAAGGAAGGAAGGTACGTCAACAGCAGGAGCAGAAGTGAAGTCAACGAGGAAGGAAGGAACTTCACCAACACGTGACTTGCCTGCTCAACCAGGCAAGAAGGAAATGGACAGTTGCCTGGAGTTTTGATATTGGTGATTTATCGTACAACGCAAGTGGCCTAACCCACAGGGTTGTACGATGAGGTTATTGATGTCACAATCAGCGCAACCTGATTGGACACCGCAGGGAGTCGTGCAGTCACAAAAGAAAAGTTGTGAGTGTTGGAATAACAGCACCAGCTGGTTGTACGACACGCACGACTCAGGGACACACATCATGGCAGAGGGCACAGACTGGATATTCGGCCCTCGGTTATCCATTGAGGGGATCAAAAGTATATTCATGCCGAACTGACTCAGGGACGTACGAGATCATATATCTTGTGTACGAAAGCCAAGTCTTGTAGTTAGGAAGATAATCACGGAAAATACATCTTTGGTTCACCCTAACTTTAACCCGAGTACGATCGTACAAACGGGTTCTCTCAGGAAGAGAGAATCCATTCAACAAAAACCCTTGTTTTCCAACAGAGCCTGATCAACAACATGGTCAACCCCGGGGGGATGTGTAGACTGCAGCGCCATCTCTCAATGGATATGGGTAGATTTCAAATAAGAGCAATTCGTATCCAGGTTCTTGATTACCAAACAACCACAAGACTCATCAGAACGACTACACACATCTGCACACTATACTGAGGGTTGGACTGGATCAAACGGAAGCGAAAAGAAGGAAAACAGAAAAAAAGAAAAAAAGGAAATAGCATGGGAAAATACCCATCAATAAAAAAACTTCATAGTGAGCACCCTCAAGGTTGGGGTCAATGAGTGAACAAACGTGGTTGTGATTCGTTAAGACTATATATTTGTGAATAGTTTATCTACCCAATGCCAAGTATAATACTTTTCCTCATGCTGTAGTAAATATACTGGATCCAAGGAAGTTTGTATATAAGAAAATAGATATAGAAGAAGCCTGCAAGGCCAGTGTAGGAAACAAATGGTATCAAGTTGTGTGTCCCGGAAAGTTCCCTAAACCCCCAAACTGCCACGCTCCTAAATGTTCTTAGCCATTACTAACTAACACGATCCCCCGGAATTCACCCCTCCAATGCCGCTTATGACAAAGCAAGTAACAAAAGAACAAATGTGCTCACGCCAAGGACTAATGACCTATCCGAGGAAACAAGCCGTCCGGCACCGCTGTTGAAGCTGCCAGGTTGGAATGCCCCACTGGCCTCCTGGGTGACGGTTGCGGTCTTCTCCTCGGTCTTGGTGACCGTGGCAGTCGCAGTTGCAGTGACGGGTTCGGCGAAGAGACCCCCGTCAATTGTCGAGACACGTCCGGTGTAACCGGTAATCTGTGGCAAGCAGGGCTCGCTGGCACAAGTCCTGATGACTGTGCGAGTCGTGGTCAAGTCAGGCTCGGTGACAGTCTCGAGATATGTCAACGTAACCACCGCGTCAGTCGCTTGCGGGACGGTCAGGACTGCGCTGAAGGGGGTTGGGCAGTTGGTACATGTGGCCTGCGTTGTTGTGAAGCCTGCAGGCAGCGCGTCTCCGGATGGTTGGCATGAGGCGATGGAGTCGGTGCAAGTTTGGGTGATGGTGTAAGTCTGTGGCCTCAAACCCTGAGAACAGTCTGGGCAAAAGGTGGGATACACTGTCGTGTAAACCACGGTGAAGGGGTCATTGCTGGTCCCCGTGGGCGCGAGTTGCCCGGGCAAGATGTAGATCGAGATCGGCTCTACCCTGGTGACGGTGAGAGCGTCTAGTGTCGTAGTAGAGGAACAATCGTCTTGTCTACGCTGAACCCTTGCGCCGGACGCAACGGCAGCGAATGCAAAGATGAGTGGCAGCATTTTTGAGCGAGGTAGGGGGTTCGCAGATGCAGCCAGAGTAGCAGTTGTCGAGGTGAGATGGAATGCAGACAAACTCTATATTAGGACATTCTTGAGTCGACCTGAGCCGGTATCGTATGCTTCCTCTAGCCGGCCGCCAAGACATAAATCAAATCTGCCGTCCATCTCCGGACGTCATGTCACACGGGCGTCAACTCTATTGTCCACCAACCCCTTCGGGTGAGCGCCCAAATCTCCGCGGAGTAGAGCAGAAGACGCCATGCCCACAAAGCCCAGGCCCGAGTAGAAGGAGGTGTCTACCGAGAAGGACCGGCTGAATGCAAATTGGGCTAAGCCTTTGTGATTCGGATCGTGATCTCGCTAGGCCGGAGGCTCCAATGACTGGCCTCTCCCGGTGCCTCCGTCCGGGTGCAGACAGAGTCATGGTGGTCGGCTAGGGTCGCCCCAACTGTCACGGGCCGTTCGTGTCAATGGGTTTAACCAGATCCGAACAGCATCGATTGGAAGCAAGCTCTAAAAGCTTCGGGGTAACGATGAGATTGACTTCAAGGGTCTGGGCTTCGGGGGGGGTGGCCTTGTCTTACTTGGCTGACGAACCGCGACGGCTCATCCGGGGACTATGCAGCAGCAACTGTCGCCAGGGTCATTTTCCCCGTCTTTAGTGTGCGCGCTAACTTGCTAGTACAACAAGTGACATCTTCGGCGAGAAAGACACCCGGGATCATATTTCTGTCTGTCACTCATGTTCGCTTCCGGGCTGTGGCGTTGAGGCCCCTCAAGGGTCCAGAGCCGTGAAAGGGCCGCGAAGAGGGTGCGCCATACTCTCCAGCCAGTAACGGCCATCGTACATCGACTACGCGAACGCCTCCCGAGAAGGCGCTCGACGGTTCTGTGCAAGATTGTCTTCAGCTCTGTCAACCGAGCCTGCACCGATTTGAGTATTGCATCGCGAAATCCCCTCACCCCGCAATGCATTCGTATGAAAACATGCAAGTCATCCAAGACATAGCGTCAACTAGCGGGTGCTTTCCGGTAACCACGGGAGCAAATCTTTCCAAAGCTGGTTGACTCGCAGGGCCAAGGGCTAGGCCGGGCGTTGTCATCCCAACCGCGCTTGACCCGCGGGGGGCGCGCCATCTCAGACTACAGCTTGTCACTCTTGTCTAGTGACTGGCAATTATGCCGTGCATACCTTGAACCTGCCCACTGCTAACCGTTCCGGACGATGACAATGTGATTGTCAACGTTCTGGATCCTTCGCATCAATTGTCCCGGATGGCGGTAGGCATTCCGCAGCTGCTCCCGAAACGGCTTCAGAGCTCTCTCGGTTGACGGAACTGTCTTAGATCTTGGAGAGTCGCACATCGCTGACCGGAACGAGCAGTCGTGGCTAGAACCAGTCGTGAGGTAGGCAACCATGGAGTCAGGAAGTCCTCACTTCCTCTGCTTTCGAAATGGAAAGCTCCGTTCTCTATAGTCTCATGGGCGAGAAAGCTTCGGTCCGGTATGCACTTTCGCCACGGTCGGCCCTCTCCCCTTGCCTCCTTCGCCTCCTCTGGCTCTGATATCTTCTCTTTTTACACCTCGTCACTACCCGGAAGCTGGGATCGAGCTCGAGGCAGAGTATCAGTCACAGAGACACATTGTGGTCGAACTTGGCGTGCCCCCAGATCCTCCCCCAGTTGCCGCATAGGAACGACATTCCACCCATCTAAGCCATTCCGCTCGACAGGCACGCAACAGTCTCACGGCAACGAGTGCAACACAACCTACCTCGTCCATTAAAACAATTAAGCCATCATCGTTGCCGTACTGGTGGTCCTTATCAAGTACTTGTTTCGAGGCGTTCATACACTCGATACTTCCTTCGTTGACTTCTCCCCCTTTCTCCTCCCCCGTTGGAACAGCGGCGCCTCCCGTACTTTTTTTTTTTAGAGATGCCATCGCATGATCAATAGTGATCAGAAGCTTTCCCCAGACGACTTCATATCTTCCTATTGAGAAGAAAGAAAGGAAGATCTTTTCTTGATTACGCAACCACGCCGTACGGTTCGCCAGAGAGCAAGCCCGCTGCTGCTCGGCTTCCAGACCTGGTGTCTTGGACGGTCTTGAGACTATCGTGCTGGAATCACGCAGCAGCCCTTCACCATGAAGTTCGTCACAGCATTGAGTCTGTTGGCCGCCGCCAGCCAGCACTGGCGCGTAGCTGGCCTGCCTCAATTCCCTGACAACCCCGTTTGTGCTGCCGGCATCACGTCTGTCGAGGTCCAGCCGGTGCAGTTCATCGTCAGGCAGCCCATCTACATCAGTGCGTTCCTGCCGGTTAACACCGTCTTGGTCCTTGATGATGGCCTCACTCTCACAATCACCAATGCTCCCATGACCTTGGTCACCGAAATCGACAAGTTGGGAACCTTGACCTCCCAGGTGACTAGGTAAGCCATCAACATGTTGCACTGCCTAAATAATATTGCTGACCGGACCAGGATCCTTCAACAAACCTCCTCCATTCCCAACGCCTACGTGACCATCACCAGAGGTGGCCATGCTGGATCTCTGGCAAGCACAATCACGGTGTTTCCCTCGGGCCCGGACGGCCTTGGGACTTATTTGGTCTTCACCCCCTTCGACATTACTGCGCCCACAACCGGTAACGGTATCCCCGTACCTCCGACTGCTGGATCGCCAGCGGCTACGGTTGCTGGCGCGCCCTTCGATGCGAGCCGTCTCGTAACTCAGTCTGCGACAACTACCGTCACAGTAGGCGGTCTTCAAGATGATGTGTCGCCCCGAATCTTCAGCATGCTTCCGGTGCCTGGCGAGTCCGTTGCGACTGTTCTCGTTGAGACTGGTATTGGGAGTAGCAGCACGTTCAACGGGCCGTTGACTACTAGATTCGCTCTCGAGATTTACCCCGAGCCGGGCTGGCTGGGCACTGCGACGATCCCACCTACTGGAAGCAATACTCTTGGAACCGTCATCATCGGCGTTGCAGCAAATTCTGAGTTGAGTGGTATTGCCACTCCAGCTTTGACCGGGCTCCCGGGCGCAATCCCGGGTCCTAGTCCAGCTTCGATCCCAGTGACGATTGCTCCCACTGGCGCCGGTGCTGGAGCTCTTCCCCAGTCGTTCACCGGGCCGTATAGCACAGTCACTATCGGTGGCGCCGAAGGAGTGCCTAGGAACCTTACCATTGTGAACTCTGCCAGTTCTGATGGCACCGTCTTTGTGCAGACTTTCGACAGCTACTCCATCACTGTAACTGGCCCTCAGAACGTCATTACCGTTCTTGGTAACGCTGGTGCAACACCCGCCGCCATCACTTTGCCCGGCGCAAGAGCCTTGCTACAGACCGTCACCGACGATGGAGCAGTGCAAATCATTCAAACGCCGGGAGGCGAGGCCGACTCCCTCGCCAGGCTGACGACTATCACTGTCGGCAACGCAGACGGCCAAACTGGAGTCTTCACGCTTATCCCTACTTCCGGTAGTGTTGGTGCCGTGGTCGTCCAGACCGCTCAACCGGCTCTCGGTGCTCTCTTCCAGACCATCAGCGTTCCGGGAGCAACGGAGACCACGATTTCGATCCCAGCTCCCGAGGGAAGCACCGGCACCGTCGTCGTGCAGACTACGGATGGCTACACCGGTCCTGCTGCCGGCCCCTTTACGACCGTCAATGTGGGCGGCGGACAGGGCGGGACACCCGCGACCGTCACGATTCCTCCTGCAGCCGACGACACCGACGGCCCTTTCACGGTACTTGTGCAGAGCTTGGATCCTGCAGCATTCACAGGACCCTTCACCACCATCACAGCCGGCGGCAACAACGGAGATTCTCCAGTCACGCTGTCGCTCCCCCCCACCGGAACTGGTCAGACTGGCACCGTGGTTGTTCAACCTGCCGCCACCCCCTTCACTGGTCCATTCACAACCATCACCACGGATGGCAACACGGGATCTCTCCCGGTTACTCTCACTGTAGTGCCTGCCGGCAACCCGACTTTAGGTACCGTCATTGTTCAAACCCCGTCACAGACGGCACGGCCAGCCTTCTTCAGGACGCTGGCTGCGCTTCCTATCGGTGGCCAGGGCGCGACGATGACTTTGCCCGTGGGCGATGGCTCTTCAGCTACTGGGCCTGGTACTGTCGTCGTCGCCTCTGGCTTGGGCGGGGACGACCCGGCGACGACCCAGCCCGCGGCTCTGTCCGCCAACCTTGTTACTATTCGAGGCGACTACAATGGTACAGACCCTTTGACTGTGACCCTGCCGTCTCAGGGAAACAACCCGGCTGCCACAGTCGTCGAGCAGCTGCCCGTTGGCTTCAGCCAGGGGCTTTCAGTCGACAACCCTGCCGCCACCCCGGCGAACCCTCCCGTCACAGACCCGGCCACCAACGCACCGGGTGCGCCGACTGCGAACCCAGTTCCCGACGGAGCTCTGCCACGTCTCACGAGTGGCTACTCTGGATCTGTACCCACGACCGTCACCTTGCCGCCAGTTGGCACTCAGTCGCTCGGCCAGGTTTTAGTTTTGACTCCGTTGAGTGACCCTGCTGGGCCTGCTGGGCCTGCTGCCACCGGTGCTGCTGGACCGGCTGCCCCCAGGCCGTCAACACCATCACGACCGGGTTCGCAGGATCTCAACCTACGACGGTGACTCTGCAGCCCGCGGGCGGTGCTTCCACCGCACCTGTGGTCCTGGTATTGACGCCGGACCCCGCTGCCTCCACTGCGGCGAGCCCCTCCCAGGGCGTTCAGCCTGCTTCGTTCACCACGCTCACTGGGTTGATCGATGGAACGACACCCGCCACTATGACGTTCCCTCCCACGGGGACGAATACAGTCGGTACCGTTGTAGTACTTGCCAACTCTCCGTCCACTCAACCAGCTGGTGTTACACCTGCGGTTCCCGGGCAGACTCAAGCTCCTGGCCAGACTGCCCCGCAACCGAGTAACGGTGGTGTCCCATCCGGCTTTGCACCCGGAGCTCTAGGTGCTTTCACCACCATTCAGTCTGGATTCGGTGGTTCGCAACCGACTACTTTCACGGTTCCGCCGGCTGATCCCAACAGTGTTGGCACTGTCGTCATCCTTACCCCTACTAACACAGTTGCTCCTCAACTCACTCTCCCTCCCGGAGTGCCATTCACGACGGTGACTGCTCCATTCCCGGGGTCCTCTGCACTAACCCAGGTATTGTTACCCACAGGTACTAACACTGTAGGAACCGTACTCGTCCAAGTCCCCTCTTCCCTTTTCACAGCTTTGCCAACGGGAGGCGGTGCTGCTGACCCTGGAGCCGACACCAACGCCCCCGGTCTTCCAATCATCAGTATCCCGCCCATTACCATCGGTCTCCCAACCGTTATAATCGGCCCGGGTCTCGCCATCACCGTGACTCAAGGGGGGCCAGTGCCTACCACCGTGACTTTCCCTCCCTCGGGGACCAACTCCGTGGGTATTGTGCTCGTCCAAACACCGACTGTCGCCGAGACTGCCGCTCCAGGCGCTGGTGTCTTCACAACCCTCTTCGAGGGTTACTCTGGAACCGTCCCAAGAACCACGACTCTGCCGCCAACGGGAGCCAACACCCTTGGTATTGTTTTGGTGCAGACGCCGACGGCCTTGGTCAACGTGCTCCAGACGACTACCGTTGGCTTCACCGGCTCGCTCCCCACTACTGTCACCGTGCAGCCCCCTGGAGGTGGCTCTGGTATTGTGGTCGTCCAGACCCCTTTCCCCGACGCAGGCTCGCCTTCGACCTCGGCAAACGTTTTCACAACGCTGAACCAGGGTTTCACCGGAACCGCGCCTACTACCATCACCCTCCAGCCCACGGGAAGCGATACTGTTGGTACCGTCATCGTCCAGACGCCCATCTTCTCCGGGGGTGCAGCCGCGCCAACCACCACCGCTGCGCCCAATGTCTTTGTCACAATCACGACTGGAGGTCCCGTGGCCGCGACTTCTACGATTCTGCCAACCGGCGCCAACTCCGCGGGCATCGTCGTGATCCAGACTCCCACAACGGGGCCAGCTGCCGCAGACCCCAGCGTTCCGAGCGGCTTCGTTCTCACGACAGCCGTTGGAACTGGCTCTGTGGCCACTACCGTCACCTATCCACCATCGGGAACCAACCCTGGCAGTGTCGTTGTTCAGCAGCCCGCTGCTACCCAACCACAGGTCCAAGTCCCGAGCGGCTTCGTTCTCACGACAGCCGTTGGAACTGGCTCTGTGGCCACTACTGTCACCTATCCACCATCGGGAACCAACCCTGGCAGTGTCGTTGTTCAGCAGCCCGCTGCTACCCAACCGCAAGTCCAAATCCCTAGCGGCTTTACCGTGGCTACTACTGGATACTCTGGCTCGGTGCCTACGACGGTAACAATCTTCCCTACCGGCACTGAGACTGTCGGCACCGTCTTGATTGAGACCCCGACTGGTTCTGCTGCTGGTGCTCTCCCCGCCCTCACCCGTACCGAGGGCTACGATGGAAGCATTACGCGTACGACTACCCTGGCGCCGACAGGAACTGAGACGGCTGGTGTTGTTCTCGTCCAGACGCCGACCGCGGGAGCTGGCCCACCTGGCGCATTGCCCAACACAGTCGTTTTGACGAGTGGCTACGCCGGGTCGACGATATCTACCCTTACTCTCACGCCCTCATCAGCTGGTGATCCGGCAACTTTGGTTGTTCTCACACCCACTGCAGCCAACGCCGGTCCCACAACGTCGCCTATCCAGTTTGTCACCTTGACGGCGGGCTATCCCGGCCCTACCACCAACATTGTGACCCTCCTGCCGAGCAGTGGAAACCCCCTGGGCACCATTCTCATCCAGACGCCTTTCTCTTCCGGCCAGAGCAACACCATCTCGGCGACATCTTTTGTCACCAACACCATCCCAGGATCGGTGCCCACTACCTTTACTGTTCCGCCGGCAAGCAACGATCCCAATGGCGTGGCGACGGTGATTGTGCAAGATCCTCCTGTTACCGTTGTCCCCGCTTCATTCGTCACTCGTACGACGGGCTACTTCGGTTCCGGAGTGGCAACGACAACTCTAGCACCCGCAGTCAGCGGAGACCCCGCAACGGTCCTCATCCAGACGCCCCTCCCTACTTCCGGTCTTTCGTTTGTTACTACTACTGTTGGTTACACGGGACTCGTGCCAACCACCACCACTATCTTCCCTTCGGGAACAGATACCGTTGGTGCGGTCATTGTTCAGACCCCTCAGAGCACTGTCTCCCCTCAGCTGAGCTTCACGACTGTTGTCAGCACATACGGTGGATCTGTGACTTTGGCATCGACGATTCTGCCGTCTGGTACCAACACTGTTGGTACGGTCGTTCTGCAAGTTCCTCAGTCAAACATCCCTTCGCCCACCAGTGCCCCGGCAGCCCCTGCTCTCTCCTTCATCACGGTCTCAACTGGTTATTCGGGGGTTGGAACCCAGACAACGACCGTCCTGCCAACAGGTACTAACAGCGTTGGTCTCGTTTTGATCCAAACTCCTACGCAAGCTGGCGTCGCAGCGCCGTCAATCACAGGCTACATCACCGTCACCTCGCCGTACGCTGGCGTCGTTACCCGCACGACTACATTGCCGCAGAGCGGAACTGAGGCTCTTGGTGTTGTCCTTGTCGAGGTCCCAACCCAAGCGGGCACCTCACCCGCCGAGACTCCCACGCCGAATACCTCCATCACTCAATTCATTACAGTTTCCCAGGGCTACAGCGGCGCATCCACTCAGACCACGACTGTGTTGCCCACTGGCACGGACACAGTTGGCATAGTCATTATCCAGACGCCCACGACATCCGCTTCAACTACCCCTGCGCCCAGTGTCAGCTTTGTTACGACCACTTCGCTATGGGACTCCACGGGAGCAAGCACATCTACTGCCTTCCCTACAGGGACCCAGTCGGTCGGCACCGTCTTTGTGGCCCAGCCCAGATACGTACGCTTTGCCACCATGACAACCGGCTACTCATCGACTGGTTTGTCCACGACTACCTCGCCCACGCTTAGCGGCACAGAGATCATTGGTATGGTCATCATCTACACACCTTTCGAGACGGCGTCGGCTACTTCGACCCCTTCGGACTCTCTGTCCACCTCGGGAGCAACAACAACGCCCGCCTCATCCGCAGCTTCGGCTACTTCGGCCCTCTCGAACTCTCTGCCTATCTCGGGAGCAACAACAACGCCTGCCTCATCCGCAGCGTTTGCAACTCTTATCAGCACTTACACAGGATCTACTCCTTCAACCACGACGATTGCTCCTACCGGTCCCGGTGGCCAGGGTACCGTCGTCGTTCTCCTGCCAAGCTCGACGGCCGACCCCGCCGCAACTTCAAATGCAAATGCTGGAAATGTTGGTTTTGCAACGCTCATCAGCACCTACTCAGGCTCCGTGACCTTGACTTCAACCATCCTTCCCTCGGGAACAAACACCCAGGGCACTCTTGTTGTCTTTGTCCCGAGCGGTTCTACAGACGCAGGGGTTCCAGCCGTGACCAGCGCGACAAACACTCCGCCTGTGGCATTCGCGACTCTCACTTCCACCTACGGGGGCTCTGTTACCTCGTTCCAGACACTGCTGCCTTCCGGCACCGACTCAACTGGCACTCTCGTTGTCTTTGTCCCGAGCAACATTCTTGCTTCCCCCGCTACCACCCCAAGTGCCGCCTTCGTCACGATCACATCGACCTACCCTGGATCCGTCATTTCAACAGCTATCGCGTCTCCGGCAAACCCTGGAGACCCTGCAACTGTTGTGGTCTTGGTTCCGAGCAGCGTTGCTTCTCCCACTGTCGGCAACAACCTATTCACAACGCTTGTATCGACGTACTCTGGCTCCGTCCCATTGACTAGCACAATTGGCCCGGTCAACTCGAACGACCCAGCGACTGTCATTGTACTGCTTCCGAGTGCTACCAGCACCGCAGCTGACGTGACGCCCACCGTTGGCGGTCTCATCACCAGCTTCTACAGCGGCTTGGTGCCTTCGACATCTGTATTGCCTCCCGGGCCCTCCGGTGAGCCTGGAGCAACCATCATTTACCTACCCAGCGTTAGTGTGCCAACTGCGACCACCACAGCTCTGGCTGCTGGTCTCTACACGAGCACATACGGTGGCTCCGTTACTTTGACGTCCGTCGTTCCAACTGGTCCTTCCGGCGAGCCTGGATACACCGTCATCTACGTTCCTAGCAACACGGCTGTCCCAACGGCAACAAACACTGCCTTGCCCGCTGGATTGTTCACGAGCTTCTACGGTGGTTCAGTCACGTTTACCTCAACCTTGCCTGCTGGTTCAGCTGGCGAACCGGGTGCTACAATCATCTTTATCCCTACCAACACTGGAGAGCCGTCTCCCACAGCCACCAATGTGGGCGGTTTGTTCACGAGCTTCTACGGCGGCTCCGTCACTTCCACCTCCGTCGTACCAACAGGGCCCTTTGGCGGACCTGGTGCAACCATTATCTATATCCCAAGTACTACTGCTTCTCCGGCTTTGCCGAATGTCTTGACCAGCACCTATGGGGGCTCAGTCACGTTGACTTCTGTGATCACCACCGGTTCCTTGGGCGAGCCTGGACAGACCATTGTCTATGTCCCAAGCTCTACGGCGGCCGCAGGCCTTCCCAACGTCCTTACAAGTACTTATGGCGGTTCAGTTACCCTCACCACCACTCTACCTCCCGGGCCCTCAGGACAGCCTGGTGATATCGTTGTTTTGGTCCCGAGTGCTACTCAGAGTATCACTCCCGCAGTATCTACCGGGGGCTTGTTAACAAGTCTGTACGACGGATCCGTCACCTTGACGTCGACACTGCCTCCTGGTCCTTCTGGAGAGCCTGGTGCGACGGTGATATATTTGCCCAGTGTCACTGGATCCCCAGCACTGCCCAATGTTCCTACCTCTACGTACGACGGCTCAGTCACTCAGACAAGCACCATTATTGGACCTTCTGGTGATATTCAGACCATTGTCCTGGTCCCCAGCTCAACAGCCTCAGCTGCTGCTGGGCTTCCCAACTTCCTTACCTCCACGTACGGTGGCTCGATTACTCAGACGACTACTATTATCGGGCCTTCTGGCGATGTTGAGACTGTTGTCCTGGTGCCATCATCGACCGCGCCTAGCCTACCTAACGTCTTCACAAGCACATACAGTGGTTCGATTACTCAGACCACCACTATTGTTGGACCTTCTGGCGATGTGGTCACAGTTGTTTTGGTCCCTAGTTCGACGGCCTCAGCCGGCGCTGGGCTTCCCAATCTCTTAACAAGCACGTACGGTGGCTCGGTTACTCAGACGACTACTATTATTGGTCCTTCTGGTGTTGAGACCGTTGTCCTGGTCCCCAGTTCAACAGCTTCAGCTGGTGCCGGGCTTCCTAACTTCCTTACCTCTACGTACGGTGGCTCGATCACTCAGACAACTACTATTGCCGGGCCTTCTGGTGACATCGAGACGATAGTCCTGGTGCCAAGCTCAACAGCTGCGCCAGGCCTGCCTAACTTCTTGACAAGCACGTACGGTGGTTCGATTATTCAGACAACCACTATTATCGGACCTTCTGGTGATGCGTTCACAGTTGTTTTGGTCCCCAGTTCGACGGCCTCAGCCGGCGCTGGGCTTCCCAATCTCTTAACAAGCACGTACGGTGGCTCGGTTACTCAGACGACTACTATTATTGGTCCTTCTGGTGTTGAGACCGTTGTCCTGGTCCCCAGTTCAACAGCTTCAGCTGGTGCCGGGCTTCCTAACTTCCTTACCTCTACGTACGGTGGCTCGATCACTCAGACAACTACTATTGCCGGGCCTTCTGGTGACATCGAGACGATAGTCCTGGTGCCAAGCTCAACAGCTGCGCCAGGCCTGCCTAACTTCTTGACAAGCACGTACGGTGGTTCGATTATTCAGACAACCACTATTATCGGACCTTCTGGTGATGCGTTCACAGTTGTTTTGGTCCCCAGTTCGACGGCCTCAGCCGGCGCTGGGCTTCCCAATCTCTTTACAAGCACGTACAGTGGCTCGATCACTCAGACAACTACTATTGCCGGACCTTCAGGCAATGTTGAGACCATTGTCCTAGTGCCAAGCTCAACAGCTGCGCCAGGTCTACCCAACTTCCCTACCTCCACGTACGGTGGTTTGATTACTCAGACGACCACTATTATCGGACCTTCTGGCGATGTTGAGACCATTGTCCTGGTGCCAAGCTCAACAGCTGCGCCAGGTCTGCCTAACTTCCCTACCTCCACGTACGGCGGTTCGATCACTCAGACGACTACTGTTGTTGGACCTTCTGGTAACATCGAGACGATAGTCCTGGTCCCCAGCTCAACAGCTGGGCTTCCCAACTTCTTGACAAGTACGTACGGTGGTTCGATTACTCAGACAACCACTATTGTTGGTCCTTCTGGTGATATTGAGACCGTTGTCCTGGTTCCCAGCTCAACAGCTGCGCCAGGTCTGCCTAACTTCCCTACCTCCACGTACGGCGGTTCGATCACCCAGACGACTACTGTTGTTGGACCTTCTGGTAACATCGAGACCATTGTCCTGGTGCCAAGCTCAACAGCTTCAGCTGGTGCCGGGCTTCCTAACTTCCTTACCTCTACGTATGGTGGCTCGATCACTCAAACGACCACTATTATCGGACCTTCAGGCAATGTTGAGACCATTGTCCTGGTCCCCAGCTCAACAGCCGGGCTTCCCAACTTTCTTACCTCCACTTACGGCGGTTCGATCACTCAGACGACTACTGTTGTTGGACCTTCTGGTGACATCGAGACCATTGTCCTGGTGCCAAGCTCAACAGCTAGGCTTCCTAACTTCCTTACCTCCACGTACAGCGGTTCGATTACTCAGACAACCATAATTATTGGACCTTCTGGTGACATTGAGACCATTGTCCTGGTGCCAAGCTCAACAGCTGCGCCAGATCTGCCCAACTTCCCTACCTCCACGTACAGTGGTTCGATTACTCAGACGACCACTATTATCGGACCTTCTGGCGATGTTGAGACCATTGTCCTGGTGCCAAGCTCAACAGCTGCGCCAGGTCTACCCAACTTCCCTACCTCCACGTACGGTGGTTTGATTACTCAGACGACCACTATTATCGGACCTTCTGGCGATGTTGAGACCATTGTCCTGGTGCCAAGCTCAACAGCTGCGCCAGGTCTACCTAATATTCTTACCTCCACGTACAGCGGCTCAGTCACTCAGACGACTACTATTATCGGTCCTTCTGGTGATATTCAGACCATTGTCCTGATCCCTAGTTCAACAGCCTCAGCTGCGCCAGGTCTACCCAACTTCCCTACTTCTACGTACAGTGGCTCGATTACTCAAACGACTACTATTATCGGACCTTCTGGTAACATCGAGACTATAGTCCTGGTGCCAAGCTCAACAGCTGCGCCAGGTCTACCCAACTTCCCTACTTCTACGTACGGTGGCTCGATTACTCAAACGACTACTATTATCGGGCCTTCAGGCGATGTTGAGACTGTTGTCCTGGTGCCATCATCGACCGCGCCTAGCCTACCTAACGTCTTCACAAGCACATACAGTGGTTCGATTACTCAAACCACCACTATTGTTGGACCTTCTGGCGATGTGGTCACAGTTGTTTTGGTACCTAGTTCGACGGCTACAGCCGGCGCCGGGCTTCCCAACTTCCTTACTAGCACATATGGTGGTTCGATCACTCAGACAACTACCATTGTTGGGCCTTCTGGTGATATTCAGACCGTTGTCCTGGTGCCATCATCGACCGCGCCTAGCCTACCCAACTTCCCTACCTCTACGTATAGTGGTTCGATCACTCAGACAACCACTATTGTTGGACCTTCTGGTAACATCGAGACCATTGTCCTGGTGCCAAGCTCAACAGCTTCAGCTGGTGCCGGGCTTCCTAACTTCCTTACCTCTACGTACGGTGGCTCAATCACTCAGACGACTACTGTTGTTGGACCTTCTGGTGATATTGTCACAGTTGTTTTGGTACCCAGCTCGACGGCTACAGCCGGCGCCGGGCTTCCCAACTTCCTTACTACCACGTATGGTGGTTCGATCACTCAGACAACCACTATTGTTGGGCCTTCTGGTGATATTCAGACCGTTGTCCTGGTGCCATCATCGACCGCGCCTAGCCTACCCAACTTCCCTACCTCTACGTATAGTGGTTCGATCACTCAGACAACCACTATTGTTGGACCTTCTGGTAACATCGAGACCATTGTCCTGGTGCCAAGCTCAACAGCTTCAGCTGGTGCCGGGCTTCCTAACTTCCTTACCTCTACGTACGGTGGCTCAATCACTCAGACGACTACTGTTGTTGGACCTTCTGGTGATATTGTCACAGTTGTTTTGGTACCCAGCTCGACGGCTACAGCCGGCGCCGGGCTTCCCAACTTCCTTACTACCACGTATGGTGGTTCGATCACTCAGAAAACCACTATTGTTGGGCCTTCTGGTGATATTCAGACCGTTGTCCTGGTGCCATCATCGACCGCGCCTAGCCTACCCAACTTCCCTATCTCTACGTATAGTGGTTCGATCACTCAGACAACCACTATTGTTGGACCTTCTGGTAACATCGAGACCATTGTCCTGGTGCCAAGCTCAACAGCTTCAGCTGGTGCCGGGCTTCCTAACTTCCTTACCTCTACGTACGGTGGCTCGATCACTCAGACGACTACTGTTGTTGGACCTTCTGGTGATATTGAGACCGTTGTCCTGGTTCCCAGCTCAACAGCTGCGCCAGGTCTGCCTAACTTCCCTACCTCCACGTACGGCGGTTCGATCACTCAGACAACCACTATTGTTGGACCTTCTGGTAACATCGAGACCATTGTCCTGGTGCCAAGCTCAACAGCTTCAGCTGGTGCCGGGCTTCCTAACTTCCTTACCTCTACGTATAGTGGTTCGATCACTCAGACGACTACTATTGTCGGTTCTTCTGGCAATGTTGAGACCATTATCCTGGTGCCAAGCTCAACAGCCTCAGCTGCGCCAGGCCTGCCTAACTTCTTGACAAGCACGTATGGTGGTTCGATCACTCAGACAACTACCATTGTTGGGCCTTCTGGTGATATTCAGACCGTTGTCCTGGTGCCATCATCGACCGCGCCTAGCCTACCCAACTTCCCTACCTCCACGTACAGTGGTTCGATTACTCAGACAACCACTATTGCCGGACCTTCTGGCGATGTTGAGACCATTGTCCTGGTGCCAAGCTCAACAGCTGCGCCAGGCCTGCCTAACTTCTTGACAAGCACGTATGGCGGTTCGATTACTCAGACAACCACTATTGCCGGACCTTCTGGCGATGTTGTCACAGTTGTTTTGGTACCCAGCTCGACGGCTACAGCCGGCGCTGGGCTTCCCAACTTCCTTACTACCACGTATGGTGGTTCGATCACTCAGACAACTACCATTGTTGGGCCTTCTGGTGATATTCAGACCGTTGTCCTGGTGCCATCATCGATCGCGCCTAGCCTACCCAACGTCTTCACAAGCACCTATGACGGCTCAGTGACTCTGACAACGACCCTCCCCATCGGGCCTTCAGGCGAGTCAGGCGTTTTCGTGCTGGTACCCTCCAACTCTGCGATCAACACAGCCTCCGGAACTATCTCGTTCGCTACTACCACCAGTACCTACAACGGCTTGGTTCCTTCGGCGACCACTATCTTCCCAACTGGAAGCGACACGGTTGGCACCATCGTCATCCTTGAACCAACAAGCATCGCGTTGTCCAGTGTCACGGTCTCATACACTACAATCATCAGTACCTACGCCGGATCTCTGCTGGCGACGTCGACACAGGCGCCCGCTGGCACCGACACGGTTGGGACTGTCGTCTTGCTTGTGCCGAGCTCGAGCGTCTCCATCCCCGGGGTCTCTTCATATACCACACTCACGAGCATTTACACGGGCTCAACGCTCCTCATCTCAACAGCCGCACCTTCAGGCACCGACACCGTTGGCACGATCATCTTTTTCGAGCCAGCTGTTACAGCTTCATCTGAATTGCCGTTCGTCACGCTCACAAGCACGTACGATGGCTCCGTTGTTGCTACCTCGACTGTTGCTACCGGTTCGCCAGGCCAGACTGGTACTGTCGTGATCCTTCAACCTAGTTCGGTCCTCAGCATACCTTCATCCGTCGATGTCTCTGCAATCTTTACCACAGTCACGACGACTTATGGAGGCAGCATTGTCCAAACCACAACCGCCTTCCCTACCGGAACTGAGATTGGCACCGTCATCGTCCAGGTTCCCAGCGCCCTTGCAGCTTCTTTGACTACCTTCACTTCGACATATGGTGGCAGCATTACCCAGACTACGACCGTGTTTACTACTGGATCAAATGGCGAGCAGGTGGGCAATGTCATTATCCAGGTCCCTAGCACTGCGGCAACCAGCTCGAACGGAATCAGCTACACCACCATCACCAGTGGCTACGCCGGTTCAGTCACGCAGACGACTACCATCGTTGACCCTCTCGTGACTGACAATGTCGGAACCGTTATCGTACAAGTGCCAACTTCTGGGACATCGTCTGGAGTTATACCTGCTTCTTCCGAGAGCTTCACTCCCTTGCCGGCTAGCTTGACGACCGTTACGAGCGGATACGCTGGCTCTGTTACTCGGACGACGACTGTTCCCCCTGATCCAAGTGATACCGCTAGCATCGGTACCGTTATTGTCCAGGTCCCCGAATCAGCGACGCAGAGTAACAGCCTGATACCGACACCAACTGAAGCAACGGGCCCGGCAAGCCGATCATACACCACTATTTTTAGCACTGGCACCGGACTTGTCGCTGCCACAACAACGATTGAGCCATCAAGTGGTGACCCCAACAATGTTGGCACTGTCATTGTGAATCTCCCCAACGTACTGGCCACATCGGGCCCGACGAGCAGCGTTAGCATCGTCTACACCACTCTCGTCAGCTTCTACTCTGGTTCAATCCCAGCGACGACTACGTTTAGCCCTGCAGCCGGAGATAGCATTGGCACTGTTGTCATTCAAGTTCCTCTCACTACCTCGAATACTCTGGCTTCATCTGGCGGTGCTCTTGCTGCTTCCTACACCACAATATTCAGCAACTACCCGGGATCAGTAACTTTGACAAGCACCATTCCTCCCGCGGCGACTGACCCATCCGGACTTGGTACCGTCCTCATCCAAGTTCCTAGCAACGTTATCGCCCCATCTATCTCGTACGTGACAATTACGAGCGGTGCTTACACCGGCCTGGGTCCTGCGACGACCACGATCCCGCCCCTCAACAGCGGAGACCCTGGCACTGTCGTCGTCCAAGTGCCCGATCCCACTCTAGCCAGCGGCATCTTGTACACAACCGTCACAAGCGGCTACGACGGTTCAGTTACCCTTACCTCGAGCCTTCCGCTGGCCACCATTGGCGGATCTCCTGTGCAGACGGTGGTCGTACAAGTTCCTTCAGCCTCTGTTGCCAATGGAGTCCTGTTCACTACCGTCACCAGTGGCTACGCTGGATCCATCACCCAGACTACCAGTCTACCCCTGGGCACTGTTAATGGCTCTCCGGTACAAACAGTTGTCGTTCAGATCCCAAGCGTCACGAGCGCTCTGGGTGCCCAGTACACAACTCTAACAAGTGGCTATGCCGGCTCAGTTGTCGCAACCCAGACCGGTATTCTCACCGGCACCGATGGTTTTATTACCGTCATCGTCTTGTCACCAACCGCTACTTCTCTTCCAGTTGCCACGGAAAGCTCTGGGCGCTTCACAACTCTCATCTCTGGGTACGACGGTTCTGTAGCCGTGACATCTACGGGCTCAGTCACTGGAGCTGATGGCCTCGTTACTGTGGTTGTTCAGACTCCGACCGCAACTCTTCTGCCTGGTCTTTCCTACACTACTGTGACCAGCGGATATGGTGGTTCTGTACTCCAGACTCTCATCGGAACTGCAACTGGTCCGGACGGTCTGGCTACAGTTGTGATCCAGACCCCCACTGCGGGCGTAACATTGCCTTCGACCACGCTGCCTGGCGTCTCATATACCACAGTCACAAGCGGTTACGGCGGCTCTGTACTCCAGACGCTCATCGGAACTGCAACTGGTCCGGACGGTCTGGCTACAGTTGTGATCCAGACCCCCACTGCGGGCGTAACATTGCCTTCGACCACGCTGCCTGGCGTCTCATATACCACAGTCACAAGCGGTTACGGCGGCTCTGTACTCCAGACGCTCATCGGAACTGCAACTGGTCCGGACGGTCTGGCTACAGTTGTGATCCAGACCCCCACTGCGGGCGTAACATTGCCTTCGACCACGCTGCCTGGCGTCTCATATACCACAGTCACAAGCGGTTACGGCGGCTCTGTGCTCCAGACTCTAATTGGCACGGCTACTGGAGCGGACGGCCTTGCAACCGTCGTGATCCAGGTACCAACTCTCTCGGCCACGTCTAGCCCGCCCGTCTTTGCGCCGGTATCCTACACAACCGTCACCAGCGGATATGGTGGATCGTTCCTACAAACAATCGTCGGTACTGCTACTGGAGCCGATGGACTCGCCACAGTTATTGTGCAAGTCCCAACTGGCTCAGCTACCATTATACCCTCGCCGTCCACCACGGTCCCCGGTCTCTCATACACGACTGTCACGAGCGGCTACGATGGAACCTTCCTTCAAACTCTTGTTGGAACCGCGACTGGCCCAGACGGATTAGCCACAGTGGTCATCCAAGTCCCTACTTCAACAGCTGTTCCTACGACCTCGGTCACCCAGGCCTTCGTCTCATACATCACAGTCACCACCGGCTACGATGGCTCAGTTACCCTGTCGCAAACAGTGGCGCCAGCTGCTTCTGGGCTCCCGGGAACCATCTTTGTTCAGATCCCGACGAATGCTGCTTCGGCCACGCCTTCGATCAGCGTCTTCGATGGCACCTCGTACACAACCATTACCACTTTCATCACGGCGTCCACCACTCAAATCTCAACGATCGCTCCGTCTCGAACTGGTGATGTCGTGACCGTGCTGGTTGGTGCTCCCCGCATAATAAGGGTTGCCACAACTACCGTCCGCGGTCTCTCAGCTACGGCCACCTCTACGATGCCTATCGGCCCTGATGGCGTTCAGACCATTATGATTCAAGTTCCCGAGGTCCTCGCATCTTCGCCAACAGGCGCCAGCGGCATCACGACCGTTTTCAGCACGTACGGCGGCTCTGTCACTCTCATCTCAACTGGCAGCCCAGCTCAGCCCGGTGATCAGACCACTGTTTTCGTTCAGCTCCCTGGCGTTCTTGCCGAGATCACAACTACGCGCTTCGGTGCACCTTCTGCGGGCACCACCACGATCCCTCCCGCGAGCGCCGGGTTGCCGGCGACGGTTGTTGTCGATGTTCCTGGCGTTTTCTCGACCGTCACAAGCGGATACTCCGGTCTTGTTCCGGCGACCACGACCATCTTGCCTACGGACCCCAACGGCGTCGGCCTGGTTATTATTCAGACCCCGACCACCACTGTCTTGCCATCCGGCGCTCTCTCTACAGTCTTCACGACCGCCGCGGGCACGGGATCCATTCCGACCACCACGACGGTTACTGGTGCCGATGGCGTTGTTTCCGTCATCGTTCAGACCCCGACAACAGGTGCCTTTTCTTCCACTGTCTTCACGACTGTGCCAGGTACCGGCGTCTTGCCAACCTCCACCACGGTCACTGGCGCAGATGGAGTCGTTTCTGTCATCATCGAGACCCCCACCGCTGGCAGTCCCGGCAGCACCGTCTTCACCACGGCCCCTGGCACCGGGCTTCTGCCTCAGACAACAACGGTCACTGGGCCCGATGGCGTGGTCTCCGTCATTCTGCAGACACCGACTTCGGCTACCGGAGCTCCGACTACGGTATTCACAACAGCCCCTGGGACCGCCGCTACGCCCGCAACCACAACAGTCACTGGCTCAGATGGCGTGGTTTCGGTCATCTTCCTCGACCCGACAACGTCCGGCTCGAGCCCCGTTGCACCCACCACTGTCTTCACCACCATCGCCGGCACCGGAGCCGCTCCAATTACTGCCACGACCCGCGGAACCGATGGAGTTGTCTCCGTCATCATTCAGTTGCCCACTTCGACCCTGCCTCCGGGAGTTACCCCTTCCACTGTCTTCACTACGGTCTCCGGCACCGGAGCCCTTCCGGCAACTGCCATCACCACGGGGCCCGACGGAGTGGTGTCGGTCATTGTGTCAGAGCCCACCTCAAGCCTTGTTGCGGGTTCTTTCACCACCATCACTACAGGTGGACCGGTCGCCGCAACAAGCACAATCTTGCCCGCCATCATCGGCGGAGTCGGCACTGTCATCGTACAGACGCCGACACTTTCAGCGAGTCCCGGCGCTTTCGTTACCGTCACCTCTGGTGGTCCGGTCGCTTCAACCTTCACCCTCCCAGCGGCTGACTCTACCGGTGTCCGAACGGTCGTCATTCAGACTCCTACCTCAAGCCTCAGTGTGGAACCTGCTTTCACAACAATCACCGTCACAGGTTCCGCTGCGACTACGTTCTCAGTCCCTGCGGTTGGCTCAGGCGTGGGTACTGTTATTGTGCAAATCACGGCGCCAACCAGCACATCCGCATCGGCGCCTTCGCTCGCGTACACGACGGTCACCTCTATCGGAAGCCCCACAACCTTCACCGTGCAGCCGGCATCTCTCGGGGGCCTCGGCACCGTGGTGATCCAGGTACCCTCAACCACCCCCTCACCTTCGTCAGCCTTCAGTCGCGGTCTTACTACGGTTACATCCCCATACATTGGAACTACTCGCTTCACAACGACTGTCGGAGTCAGTATCAGCGGAGATCCATCTCTGCCCGACACAGTCATCATTTTCGTGCCTCTCACGGAGACCAGTGCTACGACCACGCCTACCAGCAGCACCTCGTACGTTACTGTGACCACTGGCGTACCCGGCACATTCACTGGCACACAGACGACAACGATGCCTGTCGGACCTGATGGAATGGCGACAGTCTTTGAGCAGACTGCTGATCCTACTGCCGCCGCCTCTAGTGCCACTACCCCTGCCTCGTATACGACTATCGTGACTGGAATTGTCGGAACCTTCGCTGGTTCTCGGACGACCACTCTGCCAGCAGGGCCCGATGGCTTGGCGACTGTCTTTGTTCAAACTGCCATTCCTTCTGGGGGCATCTCGTTCACAACCATCTTCTCAGGAGTGCCCGGTACCTTTGTCGGAACCCAAGCAACGACTTTACCTGTTGGCACTGATGGCATCGCAACTGTCATCTTCCAGACTGCATTGCCAACCGCCAGCCCAGTGTCCTACACCACGATCTTCTCTGGAATTCCTGGAACTTTCGTCGGTCCTCAGACCACTACATTGCCGGCGGGTCCTGACGGGCTTGCCACAGTTGTTATCCAGAGCGCTTTGCCCACAGCGGGAGTTTCTTACACAACTGTATTCTCTGGGGTTCCTGGAACTTTCGTCGGGCTTCAGACGACGACTCTGCCGGCGGGCCCTAACGGTCTTGCCACAGTTGTTATCCAAAGTGCTTTGCCAACCACAAGTCCAGTGTCCTACACCACAATCTTCTCAGGAGTGCCCGGCACCTTTACCGGAACCCAAGCAACGACTTTGCCTGCTGGAAATGATGGTATCGCAACCGTCATCTTCCAGACTGCATTGCCAACCGCCAGTCCAGTTTCGTATACTACAGTCTTTTCAGGAGTCCCTGGAACTTTCGTGGGGCTCCAAACAACAACATTGCCAGCTGGCCCCAACGGCCTTGCTACAGTGGTTATCCAAAGCGCTCTGCCAACCGCAAGCCCAGCCTCGTATACCACGATCTTCTCAGGAGTCCCTGGGACTTTCGTGGGGCTCCAAACAACAACATTGCCAGCTGGCCCCAACGGCCTTGCTACAGTGGTTATCCAAAGCGCTCTGCCAACCGCAAGCCCAGCCTCGTATACCACGATCTTCTCAGGAGTCCCTGGGACTTTCGTGGGGCTCCAAACAACAACATTGCCAGCTGGCCCCAACGGCCTTGCTACAGTGGTTATCCAAAGCGCTCTGCCAACCGCAAGCCCAGCCTCGTATACCACGATCTTCTCAGGAGTCCCTGGGACTTTCGTGGGGCTCCAAACAACGACGTTGCCTGCTGGCCCCAACGGACTGGTTACTGTGGTTGTCCAAAGCGCAATACCGACGTCCAGTGCTTCGTACACGACGATCCTCACGGGTGTTCCTGGAACCTTCTTAGGGCTGCAAACCAGCACTCTTCCAGTTGGACCAGATGGAATCGCAACCGTGTTAATCCAAAGTGCCCTCCCTACTGCCAGTCCTACATCTTATACTACCGTATTCAGTGGCATCCCTGGCACTTTCATTGGAGCTCAAACAAGCACTCTTCCAGCCGGAAGCAATGGCATTGCTACGGTAGTGATTCAAACCGCACTGCCAACTGCAAGCCCAACATCATTTACGACCTTGCTCACTGGTATCCCTGGCACCTTCGTTGGCCCTCAGACGACGACCTTGCCAGCTGGACCTAACGGCATCGCTACCGTGCTCATCCAGACTGCTCTGCCAACTGCAAGCCCAACATCATTTACGACCTTGCTCACTGGTATCCCTGGCACCTTCGTTGGCCCTCAGACGACGACCTTGCCAGCTGGACCTAACGGCATCGCTACCGTGCTCATCCAGACTGCTCTGCCAACTGCAAGCCCAACGTCGTACACGACCTTGCTCACTGGTATCCCTGGCACCTTCGTTGGCCCTCAGACGACGACCTTGCCAGCTGGACCTAACGGCATCGCTACCGTGCTTATCCAGACCGCACTGCCCACTGCAAGCCCAACGTCGTACACTACTCTTTTCAGCGGCATCCCTGGCACCTTCACCGGATCTCAAGTCACGACCTTGCCTGCTGGAACCAACGGAATCGCAACAGTCGTCATCCAAACTGCTTTGCTCACTTCCAACTCTGTGTCCTACACTACAGTTTTCAGTGGTATTCCCGGCACGTTCCTTGGCAACCAGATCACAACTCTTCCGGCTGGCGCTGATGGTCTCGCGACAGTTGTTATCCAGACTGCCTTACCAACTGCAAGCCCGACTTCGTTTACCACTCTGATTACCGGTATTCCTGGCACCTTCGCTGGGGCTCAGACCACCACTCTTCCAGCCGGAAGCAATGGTATCGCCACTGTTCTCATTCAAACTGCTCTCACCACGGCAAACCCGATTTCGTATACCACGTTGTTCACAGGGGTCCCAGGTACTTTCCTTGGGTCACAGACCTCAACGTTGCCTGCCGGTATTGATGGAATCGCAACTGTCGTTGTCCAGACTGCACTCCCGACCTCGAGTCCTGTGTCGTATACAACTGTGCTTACCGGCATCCCGGGCACATTCTTGGGCTCGCAGACAACCACGCTACCGGCTGGTGCAGATGGCTTGGCAACAGTTCTTATTCAGACCGCCCTCCCTACGGCAAGCCCCATCTCATATGTCACAATTCTCACCGGCGTGCTTGGAACTTTCTCTGGCACACAAGCTACAACACGTCCAGCAGGAACCGACGGCATTGCCACTGTCATCTTCCAGACGGCTGTTCCAACGCCGACTTCGAACAGCGCTGGTGTCACCTATACCACGATCTTGACTGGAGTCATTGGCACCTTTACCGGCACTCAGACGACTACTCTGCCCATTGTCACCGGAACCGTCGGAACTGTGCTCTTGGAGACTGCTTTGGCCTCACCAAGCCCTGCTGTCTCTTACGTGACAATCTTGACTGGTATCCCGGGAACTTTCGTCGGCACACAAGCGACTACGCTCCCGATTAGCACCGGCACCATTGGTACGGTTCTCTTGCAGACGGCCATCCCTACTGCAACTCCCATCAGCAGTGTCGGTATCACATACATCACCATCGTCACTGGTGTCTTTGGTACCTTCACTGGAACTCAAACAAGCACTTTGCCCATCCCGTCCATTCCAGGATCCGGTTTTGGCATCACGGCCACGGTCCTTCTACAGACTGCAATTCCCACAACGAGCGCCGTTTCATACACTACGATTGTTTCTGGTGTTGTTGGAACCTTTACTGGGACGCAGACCACCACCCTCCCAGGTATTGGGCCCAACGGCTTGGCCACTGTGGTACTCGAGACCGCCCTCCCAGTGGCTGCTTCATACACAACCTTGGTTACCGGCGTGCCGGGCACTTTCATCGGCACCCAGACGACGACTTTGGCAGGCACTGGAGCTAATGGCCTCGGCACAGTCCTTTTGCAGACCGCGCTTCCCACAACCACGGCCGCATCTTATACTACCGTCATCAGTGGCATTGTGGGCACCTTTACTGGTACTCAAACTACGACCTTGCCTGGTATCGGCATCGATGGTCTCGGCACCGTCGTCCTACAGACAGCCATCCCTACGACGAGTGCGGCCTCCTACACGACAGTCTTCAGCGGTATCGTCGGCACCTTCACCGGAACGCAGACAACGACTTTGCCTGGCATTGGTGCCAACGGTCTTGGCACCGTGGTCTTGCAGACGGCGCTGCCAGCAGCTACCTCCTACACAACTGTTTTCAGCGGTATCGTCGGCACCTTCACTGGAACTCAAACTACAACTTTGCCTGGCATTGGTGCCAACGGCCTTGGCACCGTCGTTCTGCAAACCCCTATCCCGACGACGAGCCTGTCTTTCACAACTCAGATCACTGGCATTGCTGGGGATTTTACCGGCACTCAGACGACCACTCTGCCCGTCGTTGGCCCTGGCAACGTGGCTACCGTTCTTCTCCAAACGGCTCTCCCTGTTGTTTCCTACACGACACTCTTGACTGGAGTTCCTGGATCTTTCACCGGCACACAGACATCCACCTTACCCATCGTTGGAAGTGGCGGAGTGGCTACCGTTCTTCTCCAGACGGCTCTCCCTGTTGTTTCCTACACGACAATCTTGACTGGCATTCCTGGCAACTTCATCGGAACTTTGGCGTCCACATTGCCGATCATCGGCACCGGCAATGTGGCCACTGTTCTGCTTCAGACGGCTCTACCGTCTGCTACCAGTTTATCGTCGACCTCATCCGTTATTGTGATCAACACCTCCTACGTGACCATCGTCACCGGAGTGTTCGGCAATTTCGCGGGCACCCAGACGACCACTCTGCCGGCTGCCGCCACCAATCCGGGGCTTGTTACTGTGGTTCTACAAACGGCTATTCCAAGCCCTGGGACGACATCGTACACAACGTTCCTCACTGGTATCAATGGAACCAGCTTCGCCGGCACGAGGACAACTACCCTTCCCGTTGTTGGTACGATTGGCACCGTCCTCTTGGAGACGGCCATTCTCGACGCTCCGGTCACCTCTTATATTACAATCCCAACCGGTATTCTCGGTGCTACGTTCCTCGGTACCCAGCTGTCGACTCTGCCAGTTACGGGAACCATCGGTACCGTGCTACAGCAGACTGCCATTCCCAACCCCGTTACATCGTACATCACAATCCCAACTGGTGTTCTCGGTGCTACGTTCCTCGGTACCCAGCTGTCGACTCTGCCAGTTACGGGAACCATCGGTACCGTGCTACAGCAGACTGCCATTCCCAACCCCGTTACATCGTACATCACAATCCCAACTGGTGTTCTTGGTGCTACGTTCCTCGGTACCCAGCTGTCGACTCTGCCGGTCACAGGCACCATTGGAACCGTCTTGCAGCAGACTGCCATTCCCAACCCCGTTACATCGTACATCACAATCCCAACTGGTGTTCTTGGTGCTACGTTCCTCGGTACCCAGCTGTCGACTCTGCCGGTCACAGGCACCATTGGAACCGTCTTGCAGCAGACTGCCATTCCCAACCCCGTTACATCGTACATCACAATCCCAACTGGTGTTCTTGGTGCTACGTTCCTCGGTACCCAGCTGTCGACTCTGCCGGTCACAGGCACCATTGGAACCGTCTTGCAGCAGACTGCCATTCCCAACCCCGTTACATCGTACATCACAATCCCAACTGGTGTTCTCGGTGCTACGTTCCTCGGTACCCAGCTGTCGACTCTGCCGGTCACAGGCACCATTGGAACCGTCTTGCAGCAGACTGCCATTCCTAACCCCGTTACATCGTACATCACAATCCCAACTGGTGTTCTTGGTGCTACGTTCCTCGGTACCCAGCTGTCGACTCTGCCGGTCACAGGCACCATTGGAACCGTCTTGCAGCAGACTGCCATTCCCAACCCCGTTACATCGTACATCACAATCCCAACTGGTGTTCTTGGTGCTACGTTCCTTGGTACCCAGCTGTCGACTCTGCCAGTTACGGGAACCATCGGTACCGTGCTACAGCAGACTGCCATTCCCAACCCTGTCACCTCCTACACAACTGTTTTCAGCGGAGTCCAGGGCGCAACCTTCCTCGGAAGTCAGATTTCAACTCTCCCTGTTACTGGCACGATCGGAACTATTCTCGTGCAGACCGCTATTCCAGACCCAGTTACCTTGTACACTACTATCCTCACTGGCGTCAGCGACGTCTTTGCCGGAACTCGGGCAACCACACTACCGGTCTCCGGCACCATCGGAACCGTACTTTTGCAGACTGCTCTGCCAGTGCAACCTGTCACTTCGTACACCACTCTCCTCACCGGTATCCAGGGAACTTTCATTGGTCTGCAGACTACAACTTTGCCGGTCTCTGGCACGCTCGGTACCGTCCTGGTTCAGTCCGCCCTGCCAGCAGTTACATCGTACACCACGGTCTTCAGTGGCATCGCCGGTACGTTCCTGGGTGCGCAGACAACAACTCTTCCTGCCACCGGTACACTCGCAACTGTCGTCATCCAGACCGCCCTGCCGGTCCAGCCTGTCACGTCTTACACTACTATAATCACCGGCATCGAAGGAACCTTCGCCGGTCTGCAGACTACTACTCCGCCATTTACCGGCAATCTTGGCACCGTCCTCGTTCAGTCGGCCTTGCCTCTCGTCACATCCTACACAACAGTCTTCAGCGGCGTTGCTGGTCTTGCTGGACCGGTCACAAGCACCCTCCCAGGATCTGGAAATCTTGCGACCGTCCTCATCCAGACCGCCCTTCCCGTCGTTACCTCTTATACTACGGTATTCAGCGGCGTCCCAGGTCTCGTCAGTCCCCTAACAAGCACGCTGCCAGCATCTGGCAGCCTCGCAACCGTTGTTATCCAGACTGCTCTCCCTGTTGTTACCTCCTACACCACAGTCTTCAGCTTCAGCGGCGTCCCAGGTCTTGTTGGTCCCCTCACAAGCACGCTGCCAGCATCTGGCAACCTTGCCACTGTCCTCATTCAGACTGCTTTGCCTGTTGTTACCTCGTATACTACGGTATTCAGCGGTGTCAATGGTCTGGCCGGCCCTCTTACCTCTACACTACCAGCTACTGGCACTATTGCAACTGTTGTTATCCAGACTGCTCTCCCTGTTGTTACCTCCTACACCACAGTCTTCAGCGGCGTCCCTGGCCTCGTCAGTCCCCTAACAAGCACGCTGCCAGCATCTGGCAACCTCGCAACCGTTGTAATCCAGACCGCCCTTCCCGTCGTTACCTCGTATACTACGGTATTCAGCGGCGTCCCAGGTCTTGTTGGTCCCCTCACAAGCACGCTGCCAGCATCTGGCAACCTTGCCACTGTCCTCATTCAGACTGCTTTGCCTGTTGTTACCTCGTATACTACGGTATTCAGCGGTGTCAATGGTCTGGCCGGCCCTCTTACCTCTACACTACCAGCTACTGGCACTATTGCAACTGTTGTTATCCAGACTGCTCTCCCTGTTGTTACCTCCTACACCACGGTCTTCAGCGGCGTCCCTGGCCTCGTCAGTCCCCTAACAAGCACGCTGCCAGCATCTGGCAACCTTGCCACTGTCCTCATTCAGACTGCTTTGCCTGTTGTTACCTCGTATACTACGGTATTCAGCGGTGTCAATGGTCTGGCCGGCCCTCTTACCTCTACACTACCAGCTACTGGCACTATTGCAACTGTTGTTATCCAGACTGCTCTCCCTGTTGTTACCTCCTACACCACAGTCTTCAGCGGCGTCCCTGGCCTCGTCAGTCCCCTAACAAGCACGCTGCCAGCATCTGGCAACCTCGCAACCGTTGTAATCCAGACCGCCCTTCCCGTCGTTACCTCGTATACTACGGTATTCAGCGGCGTTGCTGGTCTGGCTGGACCGGTCACAAGCACCCTTCCAGGATCCGGAAACCTTGCGACAGTCCTCATCCAGACCGCCCTTCCCGTCGTTACCTCGTATACTACAATCTTCAGCGGCGTTGCTGATCTGGCTGGACCGGTCACAAGCACTCTGCCGGCATCTGGCAATGTTGCGACCGTCCTCATCCAGACAGCTTTGCCTGCTGTTACCTCGTATACTACGGTCTTCAGTGGGGTTCCTAGTCTGATTAGACCCATTACAAGCACGCTGCCAGCATCTGGGAACCTTGTCACTGTTTTCATCCAGACGCCCCTTCCCGTCGTTACCTCGTATACTACAATCTTCAGCGGCGTTGCTGATCTGGCTGGACCGGTCACAAGCACTCTGCCGGCATCTGGCAATGTTGCGACCGTCCTCATCCAGACAGCTTTGCCTGCTGTTACCTCGTATACTACGGTCTTCAGTGGGGTTCCTAGTCTGATTAGACCCATTACAAGCACGCTGCCAGCATCTGGGAACCTTGTCACTGTTTTCATCCAGACGCCCCTTCCCGTCGTTACCTCGTATACTACAGTCTTCAGCGGCGTTGCTGGTCTGGCTGGCCCTGTCACAAGTACCCTTCCAGGATCTGGGAACCTCGCAACCGTTATTATCCAGACTGCTCTCCCTATTGTTACGTCCTATACCACGGTTTTCAGCGGTGTCCCAGGTCTGCTTGGTCCCCTCACAAGCACGCTGCCAGCATCTGGGAGCATCGCAACCGTCGTCATTCAGACTGCTTTGCCTGTTCTGCCGGTCACTTCGTACGTCACTCAGACTACAGGAGTCGTCGGCACTTTCACCGGCACGTCGACAACTACCCTGCCTGCCATTGGCACCGTCGGCACTGTTCTGTTGCAGACAGCCGTTCCTCCCGTTTCCACCGGATACACGACGGTTGTCTCAGGAGTCGCCGGCACCTTTACCGGCACCCGAACGTCAACACTGCCAGTCAGCGGGACAGTCGGTACCGTGGTGCTCCAGACAGCCATCCCACCCTTATCAACTGGCTTCACTACCATCTTTTCCGGTGTTCCCGGTACATTCGCCGGTACGCAGACTACGACGCTTCCAATTACTGGTACTCTGGGTACAGTTGTTCTCCAAACAGCTCTTCCGCCAGTCACTTCGTATACAACGATTGTTACGGGCGTCTTCGGAACCTTCCTCGGCACTCAGACCTCGACTGTGCCGGCAACCGGTACTATTGGTACCGTTTTATTGCAGACGGCAATCCCGGTCTCGTACACGACGCTCCTCACCGGTATCCCGGGCAGTTTCATCGGCACTCAGACATCGACTATTTCCGCAGTGGGAGGTCTTGGCACCGTCCTCCTACAAACGGCTCTACCCACTGGATACACCACCGTTGTCAGCGGAATCGCCGGAACCTTTACGGGAACGCAGACGTCGACGTTGCCGGCTACTGGCGGAGGCCTCGGCACCGTCCTTCTCCAGACTGCTCTGCCAACGATCTCCTATGTCACGATCCCCACCGGTGTCACTGGCACATTCGTTGGAACATCGACCGTCACCTTGGCTACCACAGGTCCTGGCCAGACGGTGGGCACCGTTCTGTTGCAGACGGCCCTTCCATCCGTCTCTTACGTGACTGTCCCGACTGGAGCTACCGGCACCTTTACGGGCACTCGATTCACTACCCTCCCAGTCACTGGCACTGTCGGCACAGTCCTGGCTCAGACGGCGCTGCCAAGCGTCTCCTATGTCACTGTTCCGACGGGAGTCACCGGCACTTTCGCAGGCACGGTGACAACGACTCTACCAGTCACGGGATCCGTCGGCACAGTTCTCCTGCAGACCGCCCTGCCTTCCATCTCTTACGTCACTGTTCCCACTGGCGTCACGGGCACTTTCACAGGCACAGTGACAACTACCCTCCCAGTCTCTGGAAGCGTGGGTACCGTCCTCTTGCAGACCGCTGTTCCAAGCCTCGTCTACACGACTGTTACCTCGGGGATTACAGGCACATTCACCGGCACTTCGTTAATCACCGTCTCAGGCACCGCGGCTACGAGGACAGTCATCGCCGCGACGGCTCTGCCATCGAGTACCTCGTACACCACAGTCACTACGGGAGTCCCTGGAAGCTTCTCTGGAACCCGAACTACTACCGTTGGAAATACGGTGGTGATGCAAACCCCGCAAATGACAGTGACCAGAATCACGACACCGGGCTGCATCTCATACACTGCTCCTACTAGTACCGCCGCGGCCAGCGCTTGTCTATCGCCTGCTCTTGTACCGTCTGCTTGTGCTCGTTTCGATGGAAAAGGCGGACTTCTTGGTGTCTCTTACACAATTACTGATCTCCAGCCTTGCCTCAGTGCTTTGGGAGGCACTGCCAATCTACCCGGTATTTCCAGCTGTCTCACGCAAGGTGGTCTCGGTGGTCTGCTTACTCCTCTCTTGGGTGGTCTCTTGGGCTTCAATTACTATACCTGTTTCAGGAATGCACTTGCGGGCGTCTGTCTCCCCAGGCTTCCGACCGTCTGCGGTAACCTTGCAGCCGATGTTGCCGCTTCTACGGTGCAGGCAGACACCAAAATCTGCTTGAACCAACTCGGCCTCTTCAATCAGACTACGGGTGTGGCAAACTGTGCTGTTAATACAGCCTTGAGCGGCTTGGGTGTCCTCAACTGTCTCGAAGGTAGCCTCGGCCTTCCTATCAACTCAACAGCTGCTCAGGCGGCGGGCGCGGTTCTTTGTCCCTCGTCGTCTGGCCAAGTCTGTGCTCAAGCTCCAGCAGCTTGTGGTTCCCTTCTGGATATCACACTCAGCGCCACCCAAATCGGGGCGAACCTCAACGCCTGCTCATTGGGCCAGGTTGTCAATGTTCTGGGGACCTCCGTGTCGACCTTGACAGGCAATCTTGGCTGTACCCTTAGCACTACACTCACCGGTCTTTTGTCGACCGTAAGCAGCCTTCTTACGGCACAACAGGCGACGGACCTGCAGACGTATGCCCAGTGCGTCGCCAAGAACGCCGCTTCAAAGTGTCTCTCGTCACTACCAAGCACTTGCTTGAATGTGGGGGTCGACGCAACCACAGGGCTGGCCGTTGCCATCAATTTCCAAAACCTCCTCGGCTGTGTCACAGACCTTGGTCCTTTGTTGTCGCAAGGCATCGCTACCGAGTGTCTGAACGCCGCACTGGGCGGCCAAGGCATCGCCGCGTGCTTGAACTTGCGCATTTTCGGCCTCGCAACGGTTAATGTCGCGGCGTGATTACCTGCTTAATCAGCTTCTTCTTCTCCTTTCTCCTTCTCTTTGTTTACTTTACTTTCTGTCATCTGGCGCTGAGGGAAATCGATTGAGATTGTCGGATACGGATATTTCAACTCTGGCCATTCTTTGTTCAAAAACTCGTTGGCTTCTTATGAGCAAGCCGCAATGCAGGACGTTTCTTAAATTAACACAAGACTGATAATCATGTAATACATAATATCAATATACCTTCCTTTGTCCAAACAAGCTTCGCCTTCACTCAATGCCCAGTGATCTACATGGTTGCAGCGTTGCTTCCTGAATCAAGCTGATCGCTACTGTTTGCATGATTTCAACATGTATCCAGCAACCCGAGATCTGATGCAATGCCAAAAGCGTGGCCGGAACAGTGATCCATAGATTAAGCATCCTCAATCAAACGAAACATTTCCGACCAAAACCAGCCCAACCTCGACGGCCCAGCCTCCGGACCACCCGGCGGACTGGCCGGTGCTACATACGGGGACCGTTGGGCCCTGGTGCAAATCCGGGCTGGCTCCCTCGGCGATGGGCGATGGACCCCCAAATTCACGGTTTTCAACTCTGCGTCCAGATCCACTTAACGGGCTGGGGGGGTTACACGCCAATGCGGGTTTAATGAGGGAGGCTTTGTCGTACTACGCCTCGGACCGCCAAAGGCCAAGCAGCCCCCGATTTGATTACTGGAATTCTTGACAGAAGAAATTACCACGGTAGCGATGCGAACCGGCTACTTGGGATTGATTGCGCCGCTAGCTAATCCTTAAGCTGAGCTTGGCCCGCCTTGTGCTGGCTGAGCTCAGCGACCACCCGATCGATCCTTTGGTGTTTTCAGATGCAATGTCCGCTTCCCCCCTTTCCGGTGCTGCTAATGCAACCTCCCACTGTCCTCAGCCCTTTTACTTCTCTGCTTGCCGTCGTTTCGATCGGATGATATAGCCGTTGCGGAGCTCGCTCCTCTTGCTACAAGGTTCACCATCTTGTTGCGTCCGCTCATTCGAGTTGCAGACGTTCCCTCATCGCTCTTTCAGGGGACGACGTCGAACGCATCCATTCATCTGTTCCGAGCCCTGCCTATCGATCGCACACGAACATCCCCCCTCTCCGCCGATCCTCGCCTAATTCGCGACGAATCCCCCACGATGCTCCCCTTCTCGAACCAGCGTCGTCACTCACAAGACAACGCGGGCGAAGTCGACCCCGAATTGAACCAGCTCATCCCCACGCGGAAACGCCAGCACCGCGTCCGCGTTCAAGGCCGACTCGCCGTCGTCCGCAGCGTGTCCACAGCAAACCTGCGGCCTGCGACATCATTGGCCCCGGCGCTACCGTCCCCGGTCGCAGCGAGCGGGACGACGACCCCAGCGACGCCAAAGTTCGAGTCAGGCGTCGCCGGCAGCGCGGAGACGCGCATGCGGAGGAGAAAGAGCCTCGACGATGCGAGTAGCGACACCGAGGAGGAGGACGCGAGGGAGACAGCAGCGAGGGATCGCCAGTTCAGGGGGTATGGGATCGGAGGCGCCGGGAACATCAGTGAGTTGCGGAAGTTTGCCTGTACTCCGCGTCGAGCAATACTGACGAGACTTGTCGCAGGGCGGCCGACTGAAGTCTACGGCTCGACGAAATCCAGCTCTGCATCTTCGAGGTTTTCCATGTTCAACCCTTCCGGATCATCGGACGAAACGGACAAAAGGCAGTGGAGCTTCAAAGAACTGTTTGCTCGAACCGGCGAGCGTAAAGGAAAAGGGGTCGCTTAACCGGTGCCCTTGTTACTGAACAACTGCGGCCGTAGTTTCGCTATTTTGGAGAATAGCCGCGGAATGGATTGGCGTTCGGGGTCAAATTTATTAGCATGAGGCATGAGGCATGGATCGACCGGCACCCGTTCTTGAGGCATACCCCCGAGATGGGCAAAGAACGAGGACACAGCGGCGGGGAACACACCAGATTGGCGTCTCCGTTCTTTTCTCATGTACATCGCAACGCAATACGAGATGGCCGAGCGACAATACTCGCGTTCACAACGCTGGCAACGTCCACCTTCCAGACCGTCTTCGCGCTACGTCGGGCCGCTGATCATCCGCCCACAAACAGGGTCCATTGGCTTTTGTCATACTCGTAAGGTCAGCGCCGTTCATAAAGACGCAGGCAGTCCATGCAAGCATCCAATGACTGGCTATCGCCTGAATCCAGGTATGTATCCCACAGCGAAAAGCGGAAAGGAGATCGTCTTTCTGATCCTCTCATCCCCCCTTTAGGCCATCGAGGCAAATGAACAAACGCCGTATTCGTCAGGGTTAGGTGTGGGAGGTGTCAGCTTACACGTACGCGGCTTTTTTCTCTCAATCGAAAATCAGTGTCGCCCGCTCCCCCACCGGTTCAGGCCCGTGAAGACCCGAATAGGCGCGGAAATGGCCATTCGGCAGCTCAGACCAAGCCTAGTGGGTTCTGATCCTCCTTCCTCGCGTAAGTGGCGCTTGTTTTTCTGAACATGAGCCATGGTGCCAGCAACCGCGTGTTAAAACTGCAACCGAAGCACTGCTACTCATGCTACTCTGGCACCGCAAGCAAGCGGTGCGTGAGCCCGGTCCTTGATGGGCGAGAAGAATGCCGAACCATCCGCTCTTTGAGCCTGTGCCGAAGTATGCAAATCTTTATCTCAGTGATGAGACAGAGATAAGCCTTGCAACCTCTTTGGTGGTGGACTGCCTAAGTCGCTCAATCGACACTCGCCAGCAACGCTAGCCTGCAGCCTAGGGGATTTTCATTCGACTATCATGACTTCGCGCTGACGGGCTTGGATCCAAGCTGCAAATACCCTAATCCTGCATTCGTCCGTTTGGGTGTCATCGTTTGGACATGTGGATCCTCATCCTATGACACCAATCAGCTCTGATACCGCCCAGAGCCTTGGAACACAACTCATCCAAGCAGCTCCACGCGCCTGAGCACAGCATATACAGCCTTGTCGCTGGCTGGCTGTTTTACGCCGTTTACATGCTCCTTCGAGTGTGTTCGTCCTCGTTGGCCTCTGGGATCCCCACTCAACAAGCTTAGCCCCTGGGCACGGTTACCCATAAGACTAAAATCTGCCGTCAGATGTCATTGAAGGAACGACTCAACCCAGAGCTCCATAGTATCAGGCGGCGGCGACAATTCGACACAACGGCACGCCGCTGAGAAGGATTTGATACCAATACAAGCCACGCAACTTCTCCGGGGTGACGGCCCACATATTGCTTTTCTATCCATCGCAAGCAAATTGAAACTTGCTACGTCGCCACGCCCAGAAGGACTACACGACATCAGGAGTCTGTTATCGACCCGATATCAGCCATTGACGAGGCTGGATCCCAAGAGGACAGCAATGTGTTCAAAGTAAGCTCCGCGGTTAATCCGCGCTATACGGGTCTAGTTATGAGGCTGTCTATTAACACCGGCCATGCTTACGTATATAAGCCCACAAGTGTTGCCCATCATCTTAAACGTGTGTCCACCTAGTCCATCTACATACATCCCCTCACATCCCCTCGAACTGCTCTTATAACCCGTTCGCTTGACACGTTCTACACCATCCGGCGATACATCTCCTATAACCATGACGATATCAGGAGACCCCATAGTCAAGGTCGAGGCGGCAGCCATCAACGGCGTCAGCGATGGTAGCAAGAAACGCCCCTATCTTGTCTTTTGCTCGGCGCCTGCCTCGGGTCATTCATTCCCTATATTGCAGATCGCCGCAGAGATGATCCAACGAGGATTCGAGGCAACCTACATCGCCGGTGAAGAGTTCCAGCCCCAGATCAAGCGCATGGGTGCCGAATTTGCTCCATTGCCCAACATCTTGACGCCAGAGATGTTTGAGGCGCGCGAAAAGGTTCCCTCCGGCAACGCTCGCCTCATGTGGGACCTTAGCAACATCTTTATTCGGTGGGTGCCCATACACTTCCGCGTGTTGATGGACACGCTCGCGAAGATCCGCGAGAAGCGCCCAGACCAGCAGGTCATCATCGTCCACGAGTCATTTTTCATGGGCCTCACCCCCATGATGCTGGGAGCCCCATTGCCAAAGGGATACCCCACTAGGCCACCCGTTGTCGATGTCAACGTAGCTCCTCTCGTCGGCACAAGCATTGACACCGGGCCGTTTGGGCCTGCTCTGCCTCCTGACTCGACCGAGTCCGGCCGCGCGAGGAATGCGCTCCTCAACAGCATGTTCTTCGGCCCCAATGGGCCTTTCGCTGAGCCAGCGAAAGAGTACAACGCGATCGCCAAATCGCTCGGTGCAACAAAAGAGCTTTCACCCGACTTGTTCGGAGCATGGCAGTCCAGCTACGATGTCACGCTGCAAATGTGCACGCCGAGCCTCGAGTATCCCAGATCGGACCTCCCGGATGTCATCAAGTACGCAGGGTGCCTCCCGCCCAAACCGATCGACCCCAACTACAAATATCCGGATTGGTGGAGTGATATCACGGCTGGCAACAAAAAGATCGTTGCCGTTGCGCAGGGCACCGTCGTGCTAGACTACACGAATCTTGTGATCCCCACGTTCCAGGGCCTAGCCCACCGCGACGACATCATCGTTGTCGCTATTTTGGGCAAGAAGGGCGCGACTTTGCCTGAAGAAGTAACAGTACCGGCCAATACGAGAGTTGTGGACTTCATCTCATATGATGCGCTACTCAAATATGCCGATGTGTGGGTTATGAATGCTGGATATGGCGGCTTCATGCATGGCGTAACCAATGGGGTCCCCATGGTCCTCGGTGGTGATTCTGAAGACAAGCCCGAGGTTGCGATGCGAGGGCAATGGGCGGGGGTGGCATACAACCTCAAGACGGGCAACCCGACATCGCAGCAAGTTGCCGACGGCGTTGAAGAAGTCCTTAGTAACGGTGAGTACAAGAAGCGAGTGATGGAGATCAAGAAGGAGAGCGAAGAGTTCAAGGCTTTGGATGTTGTGGAGAAGCATATCTGGGCATACGCGGATTCTGCGTAGATAGGCTGTGGGAGTTTTCTTTTCTTTAGCGACTAAGCAGTTCCTTCAGCAAGTAAGCAAGATCTATAAGACTGGGATAAGCACCAAAAATGGTGTGAAGACATCATTTTCTTGATACAGGACAGAAGGCTTGAGCCCCTGGAGCATTTTTCGTATTTCTGACTATTATAAATAAAGATTGTGTATAAAGATTCGACCTCTCACGAATTTTATGGATCTATGGATATCAAATTGCTACCAGGTTGATCCAGCGTGATAGATTCAGTTAAGTGTTATAAAAACTCTGATGCTGCGTAGACGTTACTACAATACCTTTTTACAAATGGCAGAGTAGGCTTTGGCAGGACAATGGGCACTCCCCAATCCATTATGCCAGTCATCCTACAAAAGCCCAACCATGCCAGTGGCCTGTATCGTACCATTTTTGGCGGCGATGGACAAGTCGGCAATGCAGCTTGCGAGCTTGGTATACATACGACCGGCGAGTAGCGCTGATCGGGTGTGACAGAAATTCATTCCGGGGCTTTTATGCGGATTGTGGATCAATTCAAAATACAAAGCGGATGTGTTGAGGCTAACATTTCGAGGCATCTAGTGATGTGGAGTTCAGATCATGTAAGCTGCCGGGGGTCTGTCGCCCTGATAGACAAACTGCTTGGCCCAAGACACAGCTCAGACGCAATTTTTCTTGACACTTCAAGTGTAGAAAGGCTCTATGTGAACTTTATAGTTGTTCCTCAGCATATATGGAGCTTGACCAAAGTTTAGTGACTCTATCTGCTTTGACTTGAGAAGACCTGTGCTGAATACATACATGACATGCCATCTTAACGTCGGGATGCTGTTTGAGGTTATTTCATTCAAGCAGCCCAGGTAAATGTTGAATGGCGCATTCCGGACAACGAATCATGTTTGTACGTAGGCTATGAAAACTGTTTCTCGGAGATCACTCCAGAATCACCAATCCCACCCTCTTCTCAAAAGCATAGTTGGTAGGATTACTGGTGTTTTGCAACTGCAAAGTTCTCCCCATATCAAGGTTACATCACAGGCGCTTGGTGTACTTCCAGACTTCAAGGTCGTCGGCCGACAGTCGCCCGAGCACTCTCCTCCTCAAGACGCACACGGCAGCTCGTGACGAAATGCAACCAGAGGATGGCCATGTTCTGCTGTAAGTTGTGTGACGAGCTCCTGCATAATTGTAGTCACACCGTTGTTCACCAGCCAGAAAGAAAGCTAATGCTAACAAAAACGCCGTGGTTTGGATTCTTCCAACCACACTAAGCAGATGGTTATCGCCGAGACTGTCTCTCAGGGTGTGTCGTACTGCCACGTAGCGAACAGAGTTGAGAAATCCTCAGTCACTGGCCAAGGTGAGCGCCAAGGACTTGAGGCTTTAGGATGGCGAGAATGTTGAGGACTGCAAAGAGGGGTAGCTGGCCATGGCGCAGATCATCCACGTCTTCTTTACCATTGGCTATCACGGGCTTGAGTTGTGGTTACACATGGGGTCGACTAGCATACGTGCATGAGTGGGAGCGGGCCGTATCTACCCCAACAATTACCCCAAGAACCGGCAATCGATCTCTAGGATCCTGCGTCAAGCTCTGAAATTATATACGATCGTCGGATCGACGTCGGCTCGGGGCAGTGTCTCCCGGTCCAGTCAACCCGTTCAAAACCAACACCTTCTCCAGGCTGCCCCATTAATCAGGAGGTCCTACGCGAGCGCATGTCTTGTCGGATGTTTAGCATAGAAGAACGCTTGGAGAGTGACATAATGCGAGTTCCAAACATGGCGAAGCAGAACTACACCATCACCCTCCCCAACCTCAGAGAAGCGCCCTCCAAAACCCCCGAGGATGCGCGGGACATCGTCAGCGAGTGGACAGCAAAGTTCGAAAAGACTCTCACGGGGCAAAGCACGTTAGACTTGACACCCATCTTCCGTCAAGATGCGTGGGTCCGCGACCTCCTCGGCCTCTCCTGGGACTTCCGAACCATCAACGGCCTCGAAACGATATCCGCCTACTTCAACAGGAACCAGCCACGGGCACGCCTCCGCGAGCTTGTCCCTTGTGAACAAGGCGCTTTCCGGCCAGCATTTAGGAATCCGGCTCCCAATGTTCACTGGGTGGATAGCATGTTCGACTTCGAGACCGAGGTCGGCCGCGGCAAGGGGATGGTGAGATTGACACTGGAGGAGGACGATACGTGGAAGGCGTTCATGATCAACTTTACGCTGCTTGAGATGAAGGGCTTCGAGGAGAACGTAGGCGTCAACCGGCCGATGGGCTACGTGGACCTCAAGGGTGGGAATTGGAGGGAGCAAAGAGAGAGGCAAAAAGAGTTCCTCGACGCGGATCCCACTGTTCTAGTCATCGGAGCAGGTGAGTCCCACGACGGAATTTCTGTTTGCCATGTAGGAACACCGACTTAAGACACTACTCCCAGGTCACGCCGGTATCAACATCGCTGTCCGCCTCCGCCATCTTGGCATCCCGACGTTGATGATCGACCGCAACGAGCACGTGGGGGACAGCTGGCGAAAGCGATACAGAGTCAGTAACCACACACCAGAACAATGGTTCTGGACTCGAAGCCGAAAAACCAGAGACTGACCTCATAGCAGACCCTCATGACCCACGACCCAATTCAGTACTGCCACCTCCCCTTCCTCCCCTTCCCGGCAGACTGGCCTATGTTCATGCCCAAGGATAAACTGGCCGACTGGCTGGAGTCCTACGCAAAGATCATGGAGCTCAACATCTGGACGAGCACCAACATCGAAGAGACCAGCTACGACAGCCATTCCAAACTCTGGACCATCAAGCTTCGACGCGCAGACGGCACCATCCGCACCATCCGACCGCGGCACGTCGTCCTCGCCACGGGCCAAGCCGGCGACCCCATCACGCCCACGTTCCGAGGCCAAGACGGCTTCCGCGGCCAAGTCTACCACGGAAGCCAGCACTCGGACGCCTCAGCCATCAAAGACCTCGCAGGCAAGAAGGTCGTCGTCGTCGGCTCCGGCAACTCGAGTCACGACATTTGCCAAAACTTTTACGAGAGCGGCGCGGCAGAGGTCATAATGGTGCAACGGGGCGGCACGTACGTCATCACGGCAAACAAGGGCTTGTTCCTGATGCACAAGGGCATGTACGACGAGGGCGGCCCGCCGACGGAGGATGCCGATATCGCCGCGCAGAGCATGCCGATCCCGGTGCAGTTTGCGCTCCAGGCTCACGGCACAAAGGCCATTGCGGCAGTCGACCGGGAGTTGCTGGATGGCCTGAGCAAGGCCGGGTTCAAGCTGGACTTTGGCGCCGACGGCAGCGGCATCTACCGCAAGTACATCACGCGGGGCGGAGGGTATTACATCGACATTGGCTGCAGCAAGCTCATCGCCGACGGCAAGGTCAAGGTCCACCACAGCCCCGAGGGGATCTCGGGCTTCACGCCCAACGGCCTAGCCTTGGCCGACGGCGCCACATTGGAGGCCGACATTGTCGTCCTCGCTACGGGGTACGATGGCATGCGGTCCAGCGCGCGCAAGATCCTGGGCGACGAAGTGGCTAATCGGGTCAAGGATTGCTGGGACCTCGATGAGCAGGGCGAGATCAACTCGGTACGTTTCTTTCCGTTGCCGACGCAGTGCCGTCATGACACCGCTGACTCTGAATAGATCTGGAGAAGTAGTGGCCACCCTGGAGTTTGGTACATGGGTGGGAACCTTGCCCTGTGTCGCTCGTACTCACGTCTTCTGGCTCTGCAGATCAAAGCGGTGGAAGAGGGGCTTTTAGTTCAGACTTGAGGGTCTTGCGAGGCTATTCGTACTTGTTAACGCGACCTTGGCATATCGGCGGTACGAGAACAGCCCGGCTGGGGCTTACTGGCCATCTATGTAAAGATCTCACATGGCGACGTTGACCTGAAGAGAGCCGCTTCTGAAGAAGCTGCAATACCTGTTATAATACCATTACTATGAGCTTGCCGGCCTCAGGCTACAAGGCCTTTGCCGCTTCTGTTCAAGGTCGTCATGGACGCCTGGGCCATCCGTCCCTGCAGAAGGGGTCGCCTCATCCTCGAGGATATATAGAAACACATGTCAGGAGTCGTTGCCGAGCCCCGTTCTCCTGAATAAACCTGAACGAAATGTTCCACAATCTCACCAACACCACCATTACCTTCGTATCCGGGCCCCTACCTGACGCTTCTTGCAGTCATGAATACCATTTTCACTTTTTTCAAACGTTCCCAGTGAACCCACCGTGAGCCGCGAACCGTTGCTGATAGTCGCGCAAGTGAGCCCAGTTGCGCATTTCCTCTTCCTCGTCCTGCGGCGTCATGTTCTCTCCGGCCATGTTGCTGCCACTCGGGCCTGTGCCTTCCAGCTTGAGCAGCACATCAATTAGCTTCACCAAAGCCTCCTCCGACTTCACAGCCACCGGGCCCTTGCGCTCAGGAGCATCGTTCAGCAGGGTCGACGCAACTTGGCGAATCTTGTTGATCAAGGACCCCCCGTTGGGCTCGAGATTGCGCTGCGAGATGGAGCCCAGGACATGGAGCAGGTTCTGCACGATCAACTCCCTCTCGGCCGTCATCAGCTCAAAGACTCGAGCTTCCTCGGCATTCTCTGCTTCCCGTGCGGCCTTTTCGTCGGGGCTTTCACCCGCTTGGCCGTCCTTGTTCGGATCTGCCAGATGTACGTCTCGCAGGTTGAAGTACAGCTCCACGTAGAAGGAACGAGTCGCCAGTTGCGAAACGTAGATGTTGGCCTTTTGAATTTCGTACTGGAGCTGCCGACGCCGCTGCGGGTGATTCTTGATGACAATCCGAACATCGTTCGATGGCTGGTTGTTGGGGTAGGCGGGAGGCACGTATTGGAGGTCGGCGTCATCCAAAGCGTCAAAGCCGCTCGACTGCTCGTGAGACGCGCTGAGCTGGAGCTCAGGCGGCAAGCGGTCGAGAATGTCCTTGGCGGCGATGAGGGCGTCTCTCAACAAGGATCGCTGATCGAGCCAAGGCAGCGTGCTCATGCCGTAAACGAGCTCTACGCTGACAATGGCGTTCATGGTGGTGTAGATGTCGATGGCGAACCGATAACCAGTAAGCAAGGTGACGGAACTCTCGGGCGGGTACACAATCTCGTTAGCCATTATGTAGAGATCATCAACGTCCTCGGGCAGGGCGGGATAGGGCAGCCCCGGGGTCGATGGAGCGATGACCAAGTCCGCATGGGAGGCGCCTAGCTGTGAGAAGGACCTGTAAGGCGTCAGCAAATCGGGTTACAGGGGCAAAGACCAGGAACGGCTCACCTAACACCCAGCAAAAGACACCAGAAGATGCGCTTGCCGATCTGGTCCTTGATGTGGTGGAACGGCAAAGGATCCGGCGAGCAATCGTCATTGCCAAAAGTAGGAAGCTCATTGGGGTGCTTGGGCCGGTGGAAGCCCAGCTCGCGGATGAGCGCCAAGCATTCGGCGGTAAAGTAGCGGTACCTGCCGTACTGGAACGTGTAACCGGCTGCGAGGCCCAGAAAGTAGCTGGTGGCAGCGTCATCCAGCGTCTTGGGTTGTTTCAGAGCCCATCGGGCTCCCCTCGTATCGAGCGCAATGTCCCGGCATCTCTCAATCATGACGATAGCCCTGGGGAACAGGTGGATGCTGTGCTGGGTTTTGAGATGTTGGCGGGCAGTGCGGGGGAAGGAAGCTACGAGAGCAGCGACCATGGAGGCCAGCAGGCCAAGGAACTCGGGGTTTGTCCGGTCCTCCCTGTTGGCAAAGGAGTGTCGGAAGGTCGGCTCGTGGGGAAAGGGCGCGAGAGGGTGGATGTAAGTGAAGAAGTCGTCGATAAGCAGCTCGAGTATGGGCAAGGGAGCGATGGACTCGGTGTCCAGCCGGCCGGGTCCCTCTGCTATGGAAACCAGAGCCTGCGCAGCGTTATGCGGAGAGGGCGACGGGGTGACGGCGGGGCCGTACGAGGTGAAGGCGGCAGCGGTGGGAGACATGCCTGGCTCGATTCTCTGCCTCCTGGCAGCTCTGGCAGCCTCAGCGTGCTTGTTTGGGGGCCCCCGTCTTTTCAGCTGGCGGTTAAAGGTGCAGTCGACGTTGAGCTCGGAGCATGGCCGGCAAGGAGGGCCCGACTCGTCGCATTTGACCTTTCGCTGAGAGCACATGTCGCAAGCCCGTCTGAGGCGTGTCAGCTTCGGATTGACAGTCGGGTCTCGTGGCATAGGCGGCATGGGCGCAAAAGTTTGAGGGAAGGCAGGCATGGCACCATGCGACACGGCACCGAGAGTGTTATTGGCGCCAGGAGGAGAGGTAGAGGAAGCTACACCGGTCGGGGTCTGCGTGCCTTGCTGCGGCGGTTGCTGGGGAGCCGGCTGTGATGGCGTGTGAGGCGGCTGAGGAGGCGGGAGATGTTGCTGTTGCTGGACTTGCTCGTGCTCGGCCATCGGGGGCATCGAGAGTTGCTGCTGGTGCTGCTCCTCAGCCGATTGGTGTTCAGGCTGCTGCTGCTGCTGCTGCTGCTGTTCATCGGCGACAGCAGCAGCGGCGGCGGCGGCAGTGCTCAGATGATGCTGGACATTCTGGATGGCAGCTGCGGCGGCTGCATCCGAGGCGGCCTGGAGGACCTGGAGGCCATTGCTGGCGTAGGCGTGGGCGGTGGCCTGTTGCGAAGCAGTCGGCGAGACGGGCAGCTCAGGCTGGGGATCCGACTGCGGCTGCGGCTGGTGCTGCTGGTCCTGCTGCGGCGGTTGTTGCTCCTGGTCGGCCAAGGAGGACGACATCTCGAGAAACCAGGGCCGACGATGGCGCCCTTGGGTCTTATCTCTCGAATGGGATGGGCGGTGCTGGGTCGAATGGCTGATTGTCGGAGAAGCTCCGGCTGCGGCAGAACGCGCTCGTCTGTGTGCGCGTCCAAAGTGGGTGTGCGGAGGTTTTGCAAGCCTGCGTCCCGCGTTGCTTGTTTGTTCGGAATTGAACCGAGGCGAGGGCGGTGAGCGGGGAGAAGCGGGGAAGCGAAGGCCACACTGTGAAAACGGAGCGAGCTTGATAGCGAATAAAGGCCTTGCATCGGATGATACCCACAGTGCTCAGCGCTTTCAAGTGCACGGCCTGGCAGAATCACGCCTAATGAGGCTTAGTCATATTAACCCGCTTTAGATCCACTTACTATGTACATTGAGCGGGATCCTTGGATCCTTGGCCCAATACCTAACCTCCTCAGGGAAGGTGCCTGCCAACGAGAGCACCTTCCTGGCGACTGCCACCACCATGATACTTTTGACATGCTTGCTTAGGTACTTCCGCTCTGTCTGCCGAGAAGGGGACAGTGAGGACGAGGAAGCATGCAACAATCGTTGAATGAAAACAACGCATAGTGTTGATGTACCCGTAATGCGCGGGTCCCGTTCCTTCTTGGGTATCGGCTTTTGCTGCGTACAGATGGAACCGGTGCGTCGTTGCATCACCAAGCGGAGATGTGAGTCGGCACTTGGGATTCGAAGCCGACATCTCACAATGAGACGGCATCCCGCTCACCGAAAACCTCGCTTCGCACTCTGGATTCCGTATTCAAATATACCTTCTTCTTTTTTCTTTTTTTTCCCCTCGTTCCTTGGATAAACCGAGACCTCCGTCGTGGCAGGTTCTTCTTTTTCGTAAATGATGACATCCTTGAAGCTGGGCCAGATATTGCAAGGCCGGGGTTTCAGTCACACAGATGGCCGCCAAGATGGAACAATCAGCTTGAAATTAAAAATATGGTTCTGGGACTCGATCCTACGTTGATTGTGCCCCTCGTGACCCCCGTCATTTGATGTGTGGCCCAATCTTCATTTTCGGCTAATGTGCAGTGCCACCTGTCCTTCTGAAAGAAAAGAGAGAAAAAGAAGGAAAAAAAGAACCGCCCCGAAGCTTCTGAGCCGACTCCTGGTCCAGACTTGCTTAGCAGGCTTGGGGTTTGAAGAAGAGCCATGATACAAATCGGCCCACGGAGCATACATAGCAACATGTTGATGGGCCCCCAGAAGACAAGCTATGAAACATATGCGGCCAAGGCTTAGTGCCATGAGGCTCGATAGGGCACTCTTCCAAGAGTCCACGCATATTAGCCGCTACTTGCCAGCGTTCACAAGTCGAATGTCCTAGCTTCCAACGGTAGGTGCCTCTTTTGTGTGTTTTACGTCACAGTTTGGCTTCGGACTCTCAGGCTGCCTTCATGTGCTTAAGAAGCGCCAAGGGAGAGCACGGAATCAGACGTTCCGAAAGAGTTGCATTCGAAACAGAAACCAGGCTGTTGCCCGTGTCGCCCATGAAAGCTTCGCCGTCCATCACCCAACGTCCAGTCCAGTACTGGTAAGTCACAGTCAGCCTTTCATCCTTTGCACTTCATCGTATCGCGGTTGCGCCACCTGTATAGGTTCAATATCCGGCAGCCAATGAACCTTTATTAACGTTGAATCAAGGTCATGAATCCTCCGGCTACCCCACTCCTACTTCGTCGATGTGACTGGTCAACGCTGCCCAACCTCTTATTCATGTCTGGTAGTGTGTGGTGGAACGGTTCACGGCCGGCCGATACCCTGGCCGGGGGCTACATTAACTACCGGCTTCCGTGAGAATTACCCCAGACTAGGGTATCATCGAGGACCAAGTATGGTAACTACAGCTGTCCATACAGCAACATTGTCTGCTCATACCCGTATGATGTTTCACTCTGAGGTGCCATGATACAGTATGGCTCTCTGGTCACTCTCCAAACAAGGATTACTATTATTGAACAGTTGACCGAAGCTCCACAGAAACCATGCTCTTATTCACAGTGAATTAAACTATGACGGATTATCTTTCAGGGGATATGTTCCCGAGACGGGATGACCTGGCTACGATTTGTTGTTAGCCAAATTGGAAGTACCATGACTTGAATGAGCAACGAGCCCCTTTTCAAATCCGGAATGCAAGCTGCCAACCGACTGCAAATGGCTCTTTAGGGGTAGTTTCGAACCACCCCTCAGAACACTTGACAGGCTAAGCTACACCCTGTGGAACTCTCGGCGACGACCATTTTATGGATATTTCGCTCTGGCGGCAGTCGATATAGTCGACAACAGAAGCTTGTCCAGGATTGGCCCTGTGAATCTGTGCTTGGCAGACATGTTTGGCAGATGAGGTCCCTATATACTGTGGCTTCCAGATATCTTCCAAAGGCTCAAGCTCTATTTGCACCGACTGTCATGCAAAAGCTTGCTTGAGCAGCCACTTCGTTCACATACCTCATCAACAAGCCTCACTGCCATTCAAGGGTGGGGGGATACCACAACAATGGGAGGGCAAAGGATGTTTCCAAGCCAGGTGCCATCAGGTGTGTTAATCTATGCCACCGCATACTATAAGACATCCACTACACGGCCGTCATCACCTTGATACTGTTATAGACACCTCGGAGACATACCTCTCGTACTCCACACCTACCAGAATAGATGAACTCTGTATTCCTTCCATCGAATGACTGCTCACTTTGCAGATTGATCGCAAGAATGGCACGGTTTAGTGGCAATAGCTGTACTTACCCAAGATCACGTCGAACATGCTTGACTCGTTGTTTGGACGGATCTATACTCATTCCTGCTAAACGGATGCAGCTCTCCGCAGCTCAGACGTTGGCGATCCCGAGGATCACGACGGTATCCCGACAAACGCTTCAGGACGAGGGATACTGGGCTACAATCGTCCGGTGAGATTCAATTGCTTCAACAACAACGGAACCTATATCCCCTTGTGGGTGCATGCCAAGAGCCGGCGCGGGAGTATATAAAGAGAGCAGATGGCAAGGTGATCTCCTGAGTCCTATCTATAACCCAACCTACCACCCAGACAATCTTTGGTATCGGAACATCAATCTCAATATGCGTTCCTTCTCCGCCCTCCTGGCGGGCATCACAGCTGTCTCGGCACAGCAGGTCGGCACCCAGCAGACCGAAACCCACCCCAAGTTGACTTGGCAAAAGTGCACCTCGTCCAGCTGCACCACTGTCAACGGCGAGGTCGTCATCGACGCCAATTGGCGCTGGCTCCACGAGACTACAGGCACCGCCAACTGCTACGACGGCAACAAGTGGACAGGCAAGTGCACCACTGCCACCGACTGCGCGTCCAAGTGTGCCCTCGAGGGCGCCGACTACGCTGGCACCTATGGCGCTACCACCTCCGGCAACGCGCTCAGCCTCAAGTTCGTCACCCAGCACGCCTATGGAAAGAACATCGGCTCTCGTCTGTACCTCATGAACAGCGTCTCAAAGTATGAGATGTTCACGTTGACAGGCAACGAGTTGGCGTTTGACGTTGACCTGTCACAACTTGAGTGTGGCCTCAATGGTGCCTTGTACTTTGTCCAGGTCAGTAATCCACTACACCATCCGTGATGGGCCTTTTGAGAAACAAGACGATTACGTAGTCCTCCACGAGAAGGGGTGTAGCAACTGGCAATCATACTTGAACGCTGACCGGGCGCAGATGGACGAGGACGGTGGCATGGCCAAGTACTCCACCAACAAGGCGGGTGCCAAGTACGGCACAGGGTACTGCGATGCCCAGTGTGCTCGTGACCTCAAGTTTGTCGGAGGAAAGGCCAACGTCGAGGGCTGGGTTCCATCGTCCAACGATGCCAATGCCGGTGTTGGCCCATACGGTGCCTGCTGCGCCGAGATGGACGTCTGGGGTATGCTGGTGCTGGTGCTGTTGGCCCCTTCATTGATCACCGCCGCTGACTATCCTCAGAGTCGAACGCTCATTCCTTTGCCGTCACCCCTCACCCATGCCAGAACAACGCGTACCACGTCTGCGAGAAGTCGGGCTGCGGTGGAACCTACTCTGACGACCGTTTCGCTGGTGACTGCGATGCTAACGGTTGTGATTTTAATCCCTACCGTATGGGCGCCACCAGCTTCTACGGCAAGGGCAAGACGGTTGATACCTCCAAGAAGTTTACGTGAGTCTCAACAGCCGACACCAGGCGTGACGCGGGCTGCAAGACACGGAAGAATTGTCCGACGCACTAACCTCAATCATCAGCGTTGTCACTCAGTTCTCCAACAACAAGTTGCAGCAATACTTTGTCCAGAACGGGGCCAAGATCAACATGCCCAACTCGACCATCAGCGGTGTCTCGGGTAATGCCGTGACCCCCGAGTTCTGCACCAGTCAGTTCAAGGTATTTGGCGACCGCGACCGGTTCTCTGAGGTCGGCGGCTGGTCCAAGTTGAACTCGGCCTTCAGCGGAAAATGGGTTCTTGTCATGTCCCTCTGGGACGATCACTACGCCAACATGCTTTGGCTCGACTCTACCTATCCTCCCGAGAAGGCCGGTCAGCTCGGATCCGCTCGTGGCGACTGCCCTACCTCCTCCGGCGTTCCGGCCGATGTTGAGTCCAGCTTAGCAAGCGTGAGTCGATATCTTTATTAACACAAACGTCTGATGCAATCGTTTGTCGGTAGTGTAAAAGCTGACAGCCGTCTCTCAAGGCTACGGTTACGTACTCCAACATTCGCTTCGGGCCCATTGGTTCGACTGTCAAATAAGCGCGAGAAGGAACACACTATGTATGGCTGCCGCAATTTAGCGAGAATACCCCTGGTGTTCTCACTGGGGGCTTTATGCGGGTTTCATACGCACTCGGACCGCCATATCTGTGCAGCGGTGTCGGTCCGAGGGAAGGCAATACCGGCAGGTAAGCAGGTGTTTGGTACTTCGTGCAGTCGGGAACTGGGAGACGTACAAAGGATACGAAGTGTTGTTTTCTCTGCTTGCAAAGTCTCGTTATCCCTTAGGAAGGTTTTACTTGAATTCTCACGCTCGTTTCCCGGAGGGACGAAATCCCTGGAACTCTGTTCGCCTGTTCCCTCCTCGTTCTCGACAAAAACGCCACCTCCAAGTGGTTCAGATCATTTGGAGGGGCTTGCTTTGAAGGCGAGGGTAGATATTAGTAGCGCCCTGGAAGAAAAGGTCCGGGCAAATACTTTTTTGCATGCAACCACACCTCTGCCTCCGGCCGCGTTTTCCTGATTATTGTGGCTCCTTTTCACTTTGTTTGTTTTCGCGTTGGGATGCACACACGTTCTTAGTCACATAATCTACCCACGAAACACTCGGGTGAGACGGTGTGTGCGGACTCAGCGGCCTATGTAGTGTCCAATGAGACGTCGTTGCGCTGGAAGCCCCGTTGCGCTTGGCCAGCTTCAATCTCCTCAAAAGGACTGAACTCTGCACATTGCGAGATGCACCAATCAGCTTGAGCGCACACACCGGAGGCGCTCCGGTGACGTATCCTCCAAGTCAGGGCTTGCACCCAAGCAACCTCGCCTCAGGCAAAGACTATTCTCCAATTAAACGGAATGGCGCAGTGATGACGGCTGAGACGTACAGGGGCTAAATCACAACCATATGCTTAGCTAGCCGATGTCGATGGGATCGTTATATGGCTTACTTGCATAACGGGAGGCGAGAGACAGATGGCTAGGAGAGTTGAGTACAAACGGGTTTAGACCACATAGAGTAGACGGAATGGGCCAAATGAAAGTATTTTGGGGTGAAAATCAGCAGTCTTGCACTGATATCCTACCCCTCAAAGAACCCCTGGATCCCGGGGGCAAATCACATAAAGCCACGGCTGCTGTCTTGCATCACAACACTCCCACCGCCGCTTGGCCTGCCAGCAGTGGTGCCTCAAACAACCGCACTTTTAACTAGATACAAGAGAAGACACAAGAGAAGACTTCTTTTTGACCACTTGATGGAACCCCTTAAACCGAGTGGTATCGTTTTCAAGGGGGGTGATGGAAACCTAACTCTACCTTACCAATGACTGGCTCCAGCTTGGTGTGCCGGTCTTCGGACAATGGCTTGTACGATGACCGGCGCTGAACGGAGCCCGCTCCGTTGCTATTACCAGAGAACGTGTAAGGAAAGGAGGCAAGAAACTAGTCGACACCATTTCCCTCAGGGTTGTGCCCTTTTACTATTCAAGAGGCCTGGACCGTGGTTCTCGCCCCGGATCATCGAAACTATTCTGCAGCATATTAGACATTTGATCTGTGCTCGGCTCGCCATGTCTACCCTGATAGCAGGAAAACAGGGGATACATACAGAAGCAAGTTTATCTAACGCATACACACGTTAGTGCATCTTTCTGGTGGTTGCTACCTGCAGGGTCGACCGGTCGTCAACCCCTCAATAAACGATTGTCTCTGCCCTATTGAGACCAAGCTCAACTAGGCCACCCAAAGACCATGCGAGAATCAACTGGACCGTATGCAACTTCAAGAAGGCGAATCTGGTTCAAACACTCCCATTTCATCAAAACTACCCACTGACCCTAGGTCTGATTTTAACTCACCATCTGTCTCGTCACGACTCGCTTACCCGCACGGAACAACGGCCTTAGGCCACTTGGTCTTCCTGGTCTTAGCCCATCGGGTTCCAACATGAATTCAAATCCAGGAAACAAGCACTCGGCTCCTGATGACCAGCCCGCCGTTGATGGTCAGCCAAATCTTGCCCCTACGGCCAGCTTTCGACGCATCATGCCTGCCGCTACTGTTGATCCCATCGGATACCAGGGGCCGCTGGTGACCGCAGAGCGATCGGCGAAATACACTCGGCACCAGGTCCCATCTGCTTGCCTGCAATGTCGAAAGCGAAAAGTAAAGGTATTATCTTGTGATTCACTGATTCCGGTCATCGATCTTCGCCCTCTATTATCACAGCGGCCCCCTCGAAAGGCTTTCTTCCACGCGCTATAAGCGCGGTAGTTATCAGACTAGGCACTTCTAGTTGTAGTTTGTGGGGAAACAAAGACGTTTTTCGTACCTATAACACTTGCCTGAATAGGGGGAGACTTTAACCGCTACACACCAGAAAAGCCGCAAGACTGACAACCGTGGAATTATTATAGTGTTCAGGAAAACGGCCGACCTGTGGGCGCTGTTTGTCACAAGAAATCGAATGCGAATGGGATACAGAACCAGACACTTCCCGGGTTGTCTCCATCCGGAAACGCAAAGAAGAACTCGAGCGCGAAAACGAAGACCTACACGAATTTTTGCGTTTCCTGTACTTGCGGCCCGAACAAGAAGCCATCGAGATCTTCAAGCGGCTCCGAATATCCGGCGATGCGATCCAAGTGCTCGAAATCGTGCGCAGCGGCGACCTGCTGCTGCAGAGGTTACACTTCGACAGAAATGCCACCTCGCCCGACCCTATGCAGACCAGCCCCGATGCGGTAGACTACTCTGAAGAACCCTCTCTTCAAGTCTTTGCGAAGCCATGGACTGAACTAGCAGACGATGCAGTTGTCTCGGAGCTGATGGCTGGCTTCTTCCAGTGGGACGAGCCCTTTCTACTCGCGTTTGTTGACCAGAGGAGCTTTCTCGAGGACATGCGCCAGTGTTCGCCTGAGACAGCAAGATACTGTTCTTCATTGCTGGTCAACGCAATCTGTGCGCTCCGAAGCGTACGTACCTCGAACCGCCGACAATCTCACGGAAGCATGGGATACATCAGCTAACTCGGCTTGGTAAAGCACACCTCAAGACGCGCCAAGGCCTTTGGCCGCGCAAACAGGCGTGACATGCGGCTTGCGTTCTTCGACGAAGCCAGACGCCAGCTAAACCTAGAGAATGGTCGCGTCTCGTTGCCAACCGCCGAAGCTCTGTTCATTATGCATCTGACGGCTGCTGCCCTGGGAATGGATCGCGCTACACGAATGTACCATCTTGCGGCCTGCGACATGGTTCAGCAGTTAAAGCCCGCTGTTCAGAGAGGTGCTCTTGAGAGCCGGAGAGAGCAAATTATATGCTCGAGGGCTTTGTGGGGAATGTACTGCTTCGAGAGGTTAGTAATGCCAGAGACGTCAGTCGCGACGAGGAGTTTGTGATTGGGCTGACACCTTTCAGTATCTTTGCCTTTCTGTACCTGCGACCGTCCTTTCTCCCTATACCCTCGATACCCCGATTCTTCATCGACCATGATCCCCGAAACCTACCCTACACCCCGTCCAGCGATACCCGAACCACTACGATATTGAACGTGATCTGCGATCTGTCGATAATTCTTAATAAGACAATGGAATACAACAAGAACATGGAACCTTATAATTTGGGAAACGAAGCGGATATACACAAGCGGATCAGTCTGTTTGGCGAATTGCAAATGTGGCGGGAAGGCCTCCCCCGGATATCAAGGAGATGACGCTATTTGATTCCTCAGCCTGCTTTCTGAGGTGAGGTTCTCCTCTGACGAACTTCTTAGTTCCAAGTCCATGTAAGCAAGGAAGACTGACGATTTGGAAAGAGCCTACGAAGATCAAGTCATCCTTAGCATCTTTCGTCCGCTAGAGCCGGGGATCCGATTGCCACATGATGGTTATGTGGCCGACCTCCTGATGAAGTATTGCGGGCGCAGCATCGACGGCATCGAAGAGCATGAGCGTGTATTGTCCTTGGAGGATTGCTCGAGCATGATCCTCGTGCCGCTGTTCAACGCCGCCGTCACGCTTGTTGGGCTGCTACACCATCCCAAAAGCCACGAGCTTTTCTCTCGAACATGTCGCCTGGTGCGGGAGAAAATGGACGATTTTCCTCTGGCAGGGTTTCTGTTGCAGGGGCTCATGGCGATGGCAGCAGATAACGGAGACAAAATACCAGAGGTGGCAAAGCGATGGTTTGAGGGACTGCAGCATGACGAAGCTGCGCTGAAGGATGTGCCAATCAGCTTTGTGTTGCCTTCATCTGGAAGAATGAGGGGTTCAGGCGACGTCGGAGTCCAACTAGGCAACTTAATATCTAGTTGGAACGGGCTGTCTGTGTCTGAGTAATAATTTATCTGCGACCGTGTTTCCACGGACTCAATACTACTGGCAAGTGCAAGTCGTCAAGTACGGAGTGCAGTGGGGGGTTTGGTTGCAGAACTCGAGACGTCCCAACTGCAGTTGAATGAGACCTCTGCACGCAGCGTCATTGCCCATCCCGCCTGGATGCAGATGCCTTATAAACAAATAGTCTGGATGAACAAATCGTGACACCACGCTTTACAACAACCTGCCCACAATGTCTTAACAGCTATACGATTCTGACCTTCTGCTTGGTGTTTTCCCTTGCAGTCGCAATTGCGAGAACCGGGAAAGAGACTTGCAGTCCCTTGTCTGGAATCAAGCAACATGATTTTCCAACTCCAATGGATCTAATGGCGGACAGGACGAGCTCCGCGGAGCAATTAGCATCTGAAGGCGGAGCACTGTACAAGACTGCACAGAAGCAAGACCTGTCAATAGGTAGTACTTAGATATGCATTAGCAGAGGACCATTACTGGGAGTGGGCATGAGCTTCCAAATCAAAAGACCATGGACTGGTGCCGAGGACACCCGGAGGAAGCAGCGGGGCCGGCATGGCCGGCACCCGGAGATTGATATCATCACTAGGTGACGTACCACCAGTCAGTCATTTGTGTACTAAATGAGATCCCAACGGCTGCAATATACAGAAAGATTCAAGGTAATGAGTGCGTGAAATGGGGAAAATACCG